AGTTGTGTACTTTAACTGATACTGTAATATTGCCCCGTGTACATCTACAGTCTGTACTTTATTATCATTGTGATAGGCTTCTTGGAGATTGAATATTCCTCCAAGATAGTGTCAGTTGATTGATAGTATGCCCTGTGGTATCACCTCTAACTACACTTTTCAGGACGTTGAAGTCTCTAACATTCAGCAAAATTGTATAAAGTAATAAGAAATCACATCAAATCCCTCAAATAAATAGGCTCTAGTTGATCATATCACTCATGTCTACCACATCGCTGGTGGCATCATTCTAGACGTACAGCACAACATCGTCTGGTATAAGATGTCACGCGTGACCGTATGATAATTGGTCTACTGTTGAAGATTCAGCTTCTCCGTGGATTGAGAAACCTCCGCTACCCCGTCGGCAGAAGCAGCCTCCTTCTCCTTTTGCTCCTTCTTCTTCTCCTTCTTGGCCAGCTTCTCAGCCTTCTTGGCGGCCTTCTTCTTGGCTTCTTCCTCCTTGACCTTCTTGGCCTCCTCGTCGCCAAACATATCACGCCACTCGTTGGCCTTCTCGGGCTTAATGTTGCTGAACAGGTACTTGGCCTTGCCAATCTCGTGGTTCGGCTTGACAGTGTCGGCGTTCCAGCGATCAGGAATCAGGATAGCCTCGGTACGGAGGATCTCGTTGATACTGGCGGCAGTTTCGGGCATGTAGGGGGCGAGGAGGGCGGACAGGAGGTGGATGAGGTTAAGAGCAAGGCCGATCACAGCAGCGCACTTGGCCGGTTCATTCTCGGCGAGCTTGTTATCGAGGCTGTTGGACTGGAGGAATAGGTTACCCTTCTGGGAGATGGTGAGGACGGTGTCAATGGCGGCGCGGATCTTGACGGCATCGAGTTGCTGGATGTACTGGGTGAGAAGTTCGTTGACTTCCTCCTTCCAGGCGTCGAAGGCAGGGTCAGTATAGGCGGTGTAGTCGGGCACAATGTTGTCGTAGTTCTTGGAGTTAACGAACTTCACCACACGGCTGACGAAGTTGCCCAGGTTCTTGAGGAGAATGTTGTTATTCGAGCTGATGAAGAGGTCCCAGTTGAACTCGCTGTCGCCAGTCTCGGGACGGTGAGAGAGAAGGTAGTAACGCCATACATCGGCAGGGATGCCAGTCTTCTTGGCCGAGTCTCCGAACACACCAATGCCGCGAGACTTGGAGAACTTGCCACCCTCATACGTCAAATATTCGGTGGTAGAGAGGTGGTGGACTTTGAGCCACTTCTCCCGAGTACCGATTTCAGTACCAGGGAACATGACGGAGTGATAGGCAACGTTGTCTTTTCCAATGAATTGGTAGAGCTCGACTTCCTCCGGGTTGCGCCACCATTTCTCCCACTGGTCGGTGTAGTTTGCGGTGATGGACACATAACCAATGCAAGCATCGAACCACGAGTAGATAACCTTCTCTTCGTAGCCTGGGAGAGGCACCTGGGTACCCCACTTAATATCTCTAGTAATACTGCGCTCTTGCAATCCCTTCGTCAACCAGGAAGAGGTGATATCCTTTCCGTTCTGTGACCATCCTCCCTTTGTCGAAGACTCGTCGAAGAACGCCTGGATCTCAGGTTGTAATTTGTCCAACTTCAGGAAGATATGTTTCGTATCCTTCTTCACGGGGGTGGCACCGTCGAGCTTGCAGCGGGGCTTGATAAGATCCAATGGGTCCAGGAGCTGACCGCACAGATCACATTGATCACCATAAGCATCAATATACTTGCAGTGCGGGCATTCACCCTGGATAAAGCGGTCTGCCAAGAACGACTTGTGCTCCTCACAGTATAATTGTGTTGTTACGTGCTCCGACAAGAAACCGTTGTCGTGAAGCTTAAGGAAGATATCCTGCGTAATCTTAGTCTGAAGCTCGGTGGTTGTGCGGCCGAAGATATCAAAGCTGATGTTGAACCATTTGTAAACTTCGGCATGGAGGGTATAGTATTTGTCGCAAAGTTCCTTGGTGGTCATGTTCTCTTGGATGGCTCTCGCTTCGGACGTCGTGCCGTACTCATCGGTACCTGAGGGAGCGGGACAGTCAGCATGACTGTGGCATAGGGCAAGGTTTGATAGTGTTCGCGGGATAGCATAGAGGACTTACCGCAGACATAGAGGGTGTTGGCACCACGGCCACGACCATATCTGGCAAAGACATCAGCCGACAGAGTCGAACCTATCAAATTGCCCAGATGAGGAACATTGTTCACATATGGCAGAGCGCTAGTGACGAGGAAATTGCGCTTCCCGGATTCAGGGAGAATGGGTTTATTTTGTTCCGTCATGTTTCCAGCCGATCAGAGGACGTGAATCTCTCTCAATGGTGAGTGGGTTGTGGTGTCCTCAAGGTAGTCAGGGGAAGACTGGGGTTGGCAGAAATTGGGGTTAGTGGGAGGAGAAAGCCAAAGTAGTGTGCGGGAAAGAAGATAAGCACTTTCAAACATCCAAAGTCTTTTTGCCCCGCAAAGGCAGATGACTCATGGAATTTATTGCTGGAAACCCCTCCATCGAACGGTGGCTGACTCAGCATGTTTTTCTAATTAACTATATCTACGCCCTACAAATGATCAATCTATTCCATACTTGGGGTACAATGATTTCTAATTAGGTAATTTGAATTGTTTTGAATTTATGATAGAATAGTATTGTGTTATGTGAGCTACATTGAACATTAGTTAAGCTCCACATCACTTCGATGCCATCTCGGCACCAGGAATCTCCATACAGAGCAGACTACATTCCTGCGAAACCCCCAGCAATGATAGGAGCTTCGTAGAGGCCCACACGGGATACACTGCTGCACGATTCGTGCTAAGCGTGTTCTTAATTTACCCTGTAGATCAATTGACTCAGGGCCAGCTACATTGTGGAATACGAGTCTATACCCAATCCGGAAGGATATTATCGACTGCAGGCTTATATCCGAGGTGGAAGCTGTGCCTTAATTTAGGGGTTGAACGTGTCATACGGATTGGTTTTTAGAGATCTAGAGCAGAGGATTTATTACCGAATGTTTGATGTGCTTACATTTTCTATCTTTGGTAAAAAGGCGAGAGTGCGAGGTTCTACACGGAGTACTATGTATTACACAATGTCGATGTTCGTTCATGTTAGGGCAAAAAGTGAGAGCAAAAGGCATGGTCATGGTGGTGAGATGAGGAAAGAAAAAGTAAAAAAAGATGTTGACGAGAGTGGGATTTGAACCCACGCCCCTTTCGAGACTGGAACCTTACTCCAGCTGAGAGATTATTAGTGATACGTTCGATAGGGTATCAGAGATATTAGTGGTACTAACCGCCTTGGACCGCTCGGCCATCTCGCCTATTGGTTAAATAGTTTTTTATTATTTGTGTATATCAAGCAGAATTTTGTCGTACATGTTTTTCAGCCCCATGTATGTGAGATGTTTAAGCTATTCGTACATATGCTAGATACCATGTCTTTGTCTTTCTGGTGCCCACGGATCGTCCCGTCTAGTTCGATTTCCATCTCTAATTAAGCGAAGCTCCTCAAGAAGTTCCTTTCTAGCGTAGTAGCGAAATAACCCCAATGATTACATTCTGTGTATAGGCCTGCCTTTACCAGTTAGTACAATGCAGGCAGCTATACAATGTCAGTCATGGCCCTGACAATGTCTGCGACTGCTTGTGTATCATACTCCGCCGTGTGGTATAGGGCAGTGTCCACATATCTCGACTGACTTTTCAGCAGCCTTGTATGAGTTGCCTCGAGGGTCATAGATGGCCACCCTACTGGCAAAAGCTTCCGACATAAGCGCTGCAATATTAATCGTGTTGAAATTCTTGCATGGTAAATGGCTCCGGCGCTCCACTATTACTTCGTCCATGCCAGTGAGTATCCTCTGGAAACACTGCATATCTTGAGCGCTATACCAGCTGAATATATTGACTTTATCGGGACTGTAGCCTAACTTGAGGATGTATCCTCGGATCTGCGACGGCTTCATTCCATTTGTTCGGTAACTTTCGTACAACCGGACAAGAAATGGGCCCATATTTGCTCCAGTGTATGGAGTTGCAGCTTCAATGGTTTCACTGAGCGATATTCCATAGTTAATGTTTGTGCTCAGAAGTGTTTCGCCGTCCATTTGTCGGATAGACACCTGCAACGGTATGGGCGATTTTGCTCTGATGGACAAGAACTCGAAATCAATAATCAATTAGCCTGGGGGCTTTCCAGGAGATACTTTTTAAGGAGCGTAAGTTCCCGCTCACAGTAGCTTCTGGGGGAAAGATTCCATTCGTGCTGTAAATTCCCCTTGTTATCCATTTTTCGTTCCGTGCTGCGGCTCGATGCGATTCGTAAGATTTCTGCCGAGTGTATACCGCAGTAGCGTGAGTTTGCAACTTTCGACAGAGGACAAGTATAGAATTCACATCTAGGTTTGTTGTCCACTAAGTGCTCCCCTAACCGCAAGAGGAGAAAGAGCGAGTTCCGTTTCATTAGATTACGCCTTTTCATCTTTGCGGTCATATTCCCATGTCTCTCAATATCAACAAGATACTCTCCGGCACTATCGTCGTCTTGGCTTTGCCCAGTGTGCTCCAGGAGCAAAACTTGCCTGATCAGGTCACATGGTATATCCGATTCAGAGATTGTATGCTTCAACGTAAAATCTCCTTGGCGCAGATATTCAAATGGCCGCTTCCTTAACGGGGTGTTCGTGAATGACCCTCTTGAGCCGCGTAAGCGAATTTGGTTAACCAAGACTGAGAGGTCGCTATACACCCCAACAACCGGTGTAACCGGTGCTGTGCGTCTATAAGTGGCATGGAGAATGGTATCATAGAGCGTCCAGGTTGCAGAGAAACGGCGTGGTCTCCATTTGGGGCTTTGGGGGCCACAGAGAAATAACATATCAACATCTGTAATATGTAAAACTGGTGAAGCATGAAAATTAGAGAGATTATTCTTCAGGAATTCATAATACAGCCTTTTCGTATGATCTCGGCCGTTGGCAGCGACGTGATCAGTTGTCCAGCCTTGAAGGAAGTACTGATCAGGAGCAGAAAAACGTAAAGTATTATGACCCCGCATTGATAAAGCCAAGGGAAGCAGAGTTGCCACATTATCTTGAAATGAGAGAATGGCACCCCATTGTGTCGGTGCGCTCGCATACGGCTCATCGTTGTCCAATCCAACTCTCACTGGTATAACTTTCAAGCTTGTCACTCGCTTTCAACAATTCTCGGCATACTATCGCTGCGCAGTTCTTCAAATCTTGGCAGTAGACACATGTATTTCCGTGATGCAAAGTAGGGCATACATCTTCCTGAGCCAGGGTTGCCCAAAGATCGATACTTTCATCGCACATCCTCGGGGACAGGGCATATAGAGTCTTGCTGATTTCAACCACAGAGCGTGTCTCATATGGATAGTTCATCCCGTCCTTCGTATATGACTCTATTTCCTGTGTCTTGAAGGATACATCGCTAAGAACGCTGGGTGATTCTGGCTCGGTTGGGTGACCCGGATGGGAAAGTTTTTGTCCCATGCCAAGGAACTTGTAAGCATCATCGAGTGTATATAGACGGCCTTTCTTACCTGATTCTATTCCAACAAATGGCAGGGGGTGGTGAATTGGATGGACCTACGCCAGTAAGCATTGGGGGCAGCACTTTTATTGCACGGGAGCCTACTCTAATCCAGTCGCTTTTAGTTATTATGCCAAGTTCGACCATTTTCCGACGTGTGAGACGAAGGTTTCCAGGCTGCTCGTAAATAGACGGCGGGGCTAGAACATTCATCCGACTGTCTGGTAGGGCTTTTAAGGAATTCTCCCTATCTAACCATCGTCTGAGTGACCGTGGTTGGATATTGAACCTGGCTGCTGCAGTTTTGACAGATATTGGCTTCAGCTCGTTGGTATCGATGTCAAGCTCTTTTGTCTCTCGGTAGTAGGAAATAACTCGGAGCTTCTCTGCTGCTGTGTGCCTTCTCCTTGTACGCCTGGTTATGCTGATCGCCGGCAGGGTATCTGCTCGCTGTGAATTCGTGGAGAGAGCAACCTCCGCGGTGGCGTCAGATGGGACTTCTCTTTTTGTTATAAAATCGGAGTTGTCGGCCATGATTTCAACGGATAGATGGCTGCTCTGGTACAAGACCCTTCATGGGTATGTGGGGGCAGATTGAGTCCTTATTCAGTACCAGTGGAAGAAGAGAAAATATCAACTGCCTGTAGGGCTCTGGTAAGCGTAGTAGTCACATGAGCCCTAGCAGTTTCTGCATAAGTGGCCCTCTGCTGCTGAACATTCACCTTCTTGGTGGCTGAGAAGTCACTAAAAAGAGAAGCAATCTTGCTGCTGTTGTAACTTAGCCACGGGTGGTAGAGAGTAATTATAGCCTTATGTACAAGGCAACTCGGGTTTGTACATTTTCATATTGTATGTCATGGTATCTTACTATCCTATGATTCCTATCGTACCTTTTTCTTTTTCTTTTTTTTTTTTTTTTCTTATTGGCAATGAGCACTCCTTTGGGGAAACAATACACTAATAGTAACGCATTGGCTCTTTAGTGTGTAGTAGATAAAGAAGATTTGGATATATATCTTGTCTGGTTGGTGTAAAGACAGGACTTGGAGGACGAATCTGTATTAACAAAATACACTTCGGGCAATTATTCCCATGAGTTTAAGGAATTTGGGTATGCTACAGGAAGTCCTGAGCCTTTCAGAGCTTCCTTGCATACACGCTATCATTTTTTGTTTATTCTATGACTCCTTGGCAACTTGAGATTAATGGGTCCAGACTTTGCTGGACATATTGTCTAGTATTATTACGTTATCGAGTACAACGGTTATCAAATAACTCATTGTGAATATATAATATATATGTTGAAGACACAAGTGCCACAAAGAGGACCACCACAAAAAGTATGGATAATTGCCATTATTATACGCAAATTACAACTATAAGGGAAGTAAAAACTCAACTTGAAGGATTGAAGACATTAAGAATTATGGTTTAAAATCACCAGGTAAAAAACATTCCATCTTCGTGTGAAGAAATTCGGAAGACGTTGTGATGACATAGCCCCTATCTTGTGATGATAATACATTCTCTGGGACAGAGAAAAATAACTAAAGGCGAGATGGCCGAGCGGTCCAAGGCGGTTAGTACCACTAATATATCTGATATCCTATCGAACGTATCACTAATAATCTCTCAGCTGGAGTAAGGTTCCAGTCTCGAAAGGGGCGTGGGTTCAAATCCCACTCTCGTCAACATCTTTTTTTGCTCTTTTCTCTCTAGTCTGTGACCCAGGATAACTGAGCTATAGCTATGTACTGAGAGAAGGAATCCTCTTTTTGACAACCTTCCCATAACAAAGAAATTTTTAATTTCTATGACCACTCAGCTGATCTACTATGTCGAAACCCGAACCCCAAATACACTCGCGGCATATACCATGTCCAAGGACTGTACAATTGAGAATATTGTTTGGCAAAGATTTTCCATGCTTGAAATGCAAAAGGCTATTCCAGAGTGATTAGCGAACAGAGTACTCCGTCATCATCTTCTAACATCCCTTGAAACTGTATTAAATCTCCTTGACCACCAAATGTGCCCTTCCAAGAAAACCACCAATCCATCAGCTGCATTACTTTACAGCATCTATCACCAGAAAACTACTCTACCAATATCTCTCCAGTAAAGCTTGTATAAAAACATAAATACACAGTGCAGTGGGTTGGTTAAAGTTCTCGACATCACGGAAACCTGCGGCGTTTCAGACATACACTAAAATAAAGAACGAGATAACTACAAAGTACCATTTCCCGCAATTAGATATAGTTGCTCAATCTTTTCTTAATTAACGTATTGCATGCTTCATTACGGATAATCTGTGCGTAGTCGTTGGGTCTTCTGATATAAGTACCGACATACCTTCTCTGCCCTACAAGTTAAGAAGTCAATACAGTGTGCCTTAGGGCTTATACAGAAGCTTATATAGCTAATAATTCCTGAGAGCCAAAACCTATATACTTAAGATTATCCGATAGGTCAGTCCGATTATCGATACGCTTTGTTATGTAGGCATAAATATTCGATATCTGTGACCATGTACGTGCGAATATTAAGACCTCTCGTCTACCGATAAAATTCCCACTATTTATAACACCTCACGGGGCAGCCTTACCAGAGTAGAAAATCGGCGACTTGGCCAACCACCTGTTCTGAATATAATGCGATATGCATAGCTGGGCCAGTGTAGCGAATCAACTGGGCCACGAAAAATAGTACGACAGTTCATATCTTTACCCCTATCACCATACCTAGATAAAATGGACGGCGTTCAGCTGTCGGAGCGCTAGAGGAAAAGTATTCGCATGACAACCAAACAAAATATTTAGATCTCGCAATCGAAAATGCTCGCCTAGCCGTCCAAGCGACGAATGAAGATGATTCAAACTTAATCCCCCGACTTGGACACCTGGGACGCCGCCTCCACAAATGATATGTGCGCACGGAAGACATCGAAAATCTACAGGAGATATACCAGTTAGGTCTCCAAGCAATGCAATTCACGCCGGAAGTCGATACCAACCTGGCACAGCTATTGTGCTACGCCAAAGCAGCATTTATTCTTCATTGGAAGCAGACAGGGGACAAAGGCGCGCTGGAAAAAGCCTTTATGTTAACAAGTCAATCAGTGGAGTACACCCGAAGGTGACGATGATCTCGCAAATAGGCTCCGTATCTTGGGAGCTTGTGCGTGTGCTTTGTTCAAATACACAAACCGAAAATAAGATCTTGACATTGGGATAGATGCATTCCGCAGGGCAGCGCAATTAGCGCCTAATAACTATCCTAGCCAGTCAAGCTGTGGTGCACTGCTACGCAGTGCCCTTATTATGCGCTTTCTGCTTCGAGGAGATCCCCAAGACATTCATGCAGGTATCTCGATGAGTCGTGAGACTACGACTGTTGGGCCTGGAGAGTATGCTCATCGTGCATGGGCTTTATATCGTCTAGGCGGTCAACTGGATTTCAAATACGCCCATACTGGGAATGTAGAATGCCTTCACAAAGAAATCTGCGCATGTAGCCTAGCACTAGACCTACCCCACGAAGACCATGTCATCCGTGCAAAGGTTTTGTCACTTCGCGGACATTTCCTTTGGGAATTACTTGAACACACTGGGGGCATATCTGAACTTGAAATGGGTATCGCGGATTGCAAGCAAGCAGCCGAGATCATGCCTCAGGACCACCATGACCTTCCGGAGATCCTGCAGGGGTTGGCAATTTTCTTCCAGAACCAGTACCAATTTTTTAGGGAGATGAAGTACCTGGAAGAAGCAATCAGCACAGCCTATCGAACGCTACGTCTTGCATCTATTCATGGCCACGACATGTCGAAATTCTTGGGCACCCTAAGCATCGTTCTTTTGTGCGATATAATGCCACATTGAGGTTACAGGATCTTGATGACGCCATCAAAATAGTACGCAAATCGTTGGAAAATGAGTCCCAGATGCCAGAGGGTATTTCCGCAATTAATCTGGAGATTCTCGCAGGTTGTCTGAACATCCCATATCTCCGAAGCAAAGATCAAAGAGATATCGAGGGGGCAGAACACGCGTCACGGCAGGCAGTCGAATCGCACCCTCCAGCCATGCCGGGCTGCCGGCATACTTGGCCAACCTGGGCCGTTACCTCATGGAGCATTTTGAAGCAACAAGGGAGCCCAAATATCTTGCAGGATCAATGCAGGCCTTTGCGCGTGCCCTAGACCGAGCAAGGAGTCCTTTTCATACTCAATTGTGCCTTGGCAGTATGGCGAGCTGTACGCGCATTATGTATATAATTACACAATGTGAAGGGCACCTTGAAGCTTCTATTGAAATCTGCCGCAGCTTGACTGCTGCTCTTCCGACTGAATCGCCAATCTTGCTTGTTTACAGGAAGAGCTTGCACTTCTTCTTCAATGGCAGAATTCCGATGATCAAGATGAGGTACTAGGTCTGAGCTTACAAGTTTGGAACTCTCACGGAGCCCCTCCCTTCGGGCGAATTAGGTCGGCAAATCGGACAGTTAGAATTTATATCGATCAATCTGACTTCGAGAAAGCCTACAAGCTTGTCATAGCGGCAATAAATATTCTCCCACTTGTTCACAATCGGTCACTTACGCTTCAGGGTCAGCAAGAGGTTGTGAAGGTCTTTTCGGGTCTGGCCACAGATGCGTTTTCCTTGGCATTGAAAACTAAACAGCCTCCCCTTGAAGCACTCGACTTGTTAGAACGCGGACGCGGTGTTATTTTGAGCCTTCTGATGAATGACCGGAGTGATATGGCCAAACGCTGGGATACACATCCGGGTTTTTCCTTAGAAGTTGAAAATCCGCTCTATGAGATGCACAGCCCTACCGTGAGCCTTGGCTCTGGCAATGCAGCCAAACACCACTCGGATAGTCAAAGAGGCGCCCAAGGAGGCCCTGAAGCACCCCCGGAGAACGTCCAATCTAGCCCTACCGTAGACCCTTCCAAGAAGAGAGTCACGGAAGAAGAAGTTAAGGAAGGCGCAGCGAGGGGTAGGATTATTATTGTCAACATCACTAGTGTGGGAAGTGAAGCTCTAGTTATATCCTCAACTGGTCTCAAACTAATCCATCTTCGAGACCTTATCTCTGATGAAGCCAGAGAATGGATCAAAAAGGACATGACGGCCACGTCAGGCAATCGCGGTGCGAATAACAAAGCCTACTTGCGCTTTCTCTCCTGGCTGTGGAGGGTGTGCGTCAAGCCTATTTTCAATGAGCTCGAATATAAGGTGCATGAGTCATCCGAAGAAATGCCAAGGGTCTGGTGGATTGGAATAGGGCTGGCCAGCTCATTTCCCTTTCATGCGGCGGGCAATCACCTTACAGAACCAAACGAAAGCACGAATTCTCGAGTCCTTTCTTACACTCTATCGTTGAGAGACCTCCTGTATACGAGGAGTAGAGAGCCTCTGTCTGACCAGGAAATTCAATGCCCAAAGCTCCTTACAGTGTCTATGGCCACTACGCCCGGTGCTGATGAACTTGACGGTGTCTTCGCAGAGACAGTCGCCGTGACGGACATAGTTGGGAACTATGTTCATGCGGAATGCCTTAGTCAACCCGATGCTGACACAGTCAAAAGACGACTCTCAGGTTGTTATATTGCCCACTTCGCCTGTCACGGGGTATCAGAGCCAAGAGATCCATCTCAGAGCGGACTATTATTCCAGACCGTCGGCGACTCTCCAGAACAGGACAGGCTTACGGTCGGCAGTCTGTGTGATACTGACTGTTCACAAGGCCAGATAGCCTATCTATCCGCATGCTCAACCGCCGAGAACCGATCCAAATGGCTTGTCGACGAGGTATTGCATGTTGTGAGCGGGTTTCAGGTTGCTGGATTCCGGAACGTGATTGGGTGTCTGTGGCCTGCTGATGATATGTTTATGTAGAGATTGTAAAGCCGTTTTATTCTGAACTGTGTCGTGGTGGAAAGGTGGAGTGTAACGACGGTGCTGTTTCATTGGCACTTCACAAGGCCGTCCTGAAGATTTCAAGGAGTCCCCAGTACCGTAAGCGGCCTTTGCATTGGGCACAGTAGGTTCATTTTGGCGCTTGAATACGCGAATACACCATAGTTCAGCCAGTCATATATCAAAGCCTTTCGGTTCACAGGTCTTCGTGCATAAGTCTGGCATTGTTTCCAGATTGTTCCATTTACGTTATATCTAAATTTTGGCCCATCAATACTGATATACCTGGTTTTGGCTTGAAAAAAGGATCCGCTAGAAGCATCTTTATTTCATTATTTGCTCATTTTACCAAATAAAGGACTAAAAACCCAACCAAGGCGAGATGGCCGAGCGGTCCAAGGCGGTTAGTACCACTATATCTCTAATATCTTATCAAACGTATCACTAATAATCTCTCAGCTGGAGTAAGGTTCCAGTCTCGAAAGGGGCGTGGGTTCAAATCCCACTCTCGTCAACATCTTTTTTTTTGCTCTTTTTCGTCTCTTCCACCTTTATTTTGTGTATCATTCTTACCCCCCGCAAAAGATAGGCAATCGTTGTTTACCTAGAGCGGAAAACAATGTAAAGATATTCAATAAATGTGATTGACAACGCAGCCTTTATGCCTATGCTGTAGAGCATGGCGATGGAAGAACTTAGCGGGGTCTTACCGTCAAGACTAGGTGTATATAACCCTGGAGGCAACGACTCCCACTCTCCCACCATGGAGCCCACTTACTGTACGGACAAAGGATTGAGGTCAACTTCGGCTAAATATCGGGGACCGGTCGACGATCATATCCTAAAATGATGAGCATCGTCCTAGTGCGGGGAAATAACCGGTAGCCTGCTGTCAACGACTGTGACTTCGGGTAGATTAGCACATATCCTCTGAACGTTTGGTCCGATAATGCATAGTCCATAAGACCCCTACGGAGTTGAAATAATGAATTCCCACATGGGGCTCTCCTTCGGTAGAGATGTGATTATCGAAAATAGGACCATCCATCGTGGCGAAGTATCCGAACAGATATATGACCCAAGACAAACAACACCATGTAAACCCCGCGCAAAATTTAATTTGGGTACTATGCACTCTGATGTCAGAGTTGATGGTATCTATCTTGGGTCCCCATGCTTCGAGTCATGGACATGTAGGGACGGACTCTCTATTGGGCTCAGCCCCCCACAAGCGTGATATTTCCCTCTCCATACTCCGTATTGCGGAGTTCTCGGCGATATGTCCGGTCCTAGTATAGTGGTTGAAAGTACGCAGGAGCTAGATAGACATCTCCCCACTCGGTAGTACAGAAGCAGTACATCGGGGATCCCGGTGGATGTTGAGGTATACAGTCCAGTGTGGTGACTTTCGAAGCCGTTATTCACGCTCGAGGTCACATATTCCGCCAGACGGACGTTCACGTTCGGAGCATAATCCAGAGACAGGTTGGTCCACGGCGAACTCGGCTTCCATTATTCCGAACAGCGAAGCTCTGTCCAGTTCAATTAGAGACTCAATACAAATGGCTAAATCTTCGCCGGTAGAAGCCCCGCGATCGACCAGGCGCTTCAAAACGATATCACCCCATTGCGGGGAAAGCAATTCCTTCGGAGTAACTCCTTGCGTCTGGGCATGTTTAAAAGATGTGCCAAGGCACTCAATTCATGCGTAAGGAGAGTCGGGGCCTTCACCACTACCGCATCTACCGGATCAAGTAGTATCTCCTGCGAAATGTGGTTCTTGTCCCTAGGATTCTTGGCACAACGGGGCCATCGTCATTCTTGGCCCCAGGGCTTGGCATAGGTCTCCTCCATTTGGGGGGAGTGGGTTATTTATTGGAACTGGATCACCCAAAATGGTGCAGGGCAGACGCACCGTGACGAGTCCACCATTTCCCCTATGGCGTCTCTTGCGACCACCGGCTGGCCAGGAGCCTTGCCTGACTGGTCTAATTTGAATGTGCTGCACCGCAATACATTGGCGCCCAGGGCGCACTTTTACCTCTACCCCAACGAGGAAGCGGCCCTGACATTCGATCGTGAGGAGAGTCTGTTCCACAGCCTGAATGGGACTTGGAAGTTTCAATATGATGTCTCCCCATTCGTGTCCCCCTCCTGGGACAGTAATGTCAGTGACTGGGATGATATTGTGGTGCCTAGTATGTGGCAGACGCAAGGGTACGGCCGCCCACATTATACCAATATTGACTACCCTTTCCCGGTCACCCCACCGAATGTCTCATATGTGAACCCAACAGGGTCATACTGGCGTGAATTCACAGTCCCCTCTGACTGGGACGGGCAGCAGATTCGTCTTCGTTATGAAGGAGTGGACAGTGCATTCCATGTCTATGTCAATGGCGAGGAAGTCGGCTATAGTCAAGGTAGCCGAAACCCTAGCGAGTTTGACATCACTGAATATCTCTCACCTAACAATACCAACACACTTGCGACTCGTGTATACCAATGGTCTGATGGCTCCTATCTCGAGGATCAGGACCAATGGTGGCTTTCAGGGATCTTCAGAGATGTCTACCTTGTACCATTCCCTCAGTCTGCTATTACAGACTTCAGTGTCATGCCAGAGTTGGATGATAGTCTTGAGAGTGGCACCCTAAATGCCAATGTGACTATTCAGGGAGAAGATGGTGACATGAATATTAAGGTCCTACTACCGAATGGTGAGGTATTCGACAGCTGGTCAGGATCATCATCAGATCGCTACTCCAAGAGAGTAGAGGGCGATGATTTATACCTCTGGTCTGCTGAAACTCCCAACTTATATACGATCCTAATCGAATTCAATGGCCGGACTATCAGCCAGAAAATCGGGTTCCGTCGGGTTGAAATGAGTGGCTCAAACTTTCTAGTTAATGGCAAGCCCATTATTATCTATGGGGTTAATCGGCACGAACATCACCATTTGTCAGGGAGAACTGTTCCTTACGAGGCAATGCGCGCAGACTTGATTCGGATGAAGCGCTCTAATATTAACACTATTCGCACTGCTCATCAGCCACCACATCCGGCTTTTTTCGACGTGGCTGATGAACTGGGCTTCTACGTGATCGCTGAGGCAGATCTTGAATGCCACGGGTTTATCCGTATTGAAGATACCGAGGAACAGGCGGCGACATGGTTGTCTGATAACCCTGAGTGGACCCATGCATACTTGGATCGGGCCCAGCAAGTGGTAGAGCGGTTCAAGAATCATGTATCCGTGATTATCTGGTCCCTTGGGAATGAGTGCTTTTATGGTCAGAACCAGGCGGCCATGTACAAGTGGATTAAGGAGAGGGACCCCTCACGAATCATCCACTATGAACAGGACCGGGAGGCTGAATCAGCAGATATCTATAGCCATATGTATTCCAGTCCGGATACTATGCTTGAGCACATGGCGAATCACACGGATAAGCCTTTGATTCTTTGCGAATATGCGCAGTAAGTATTACTACCAGGATAGGATGGATTGGCTGCTGACAATGGTTAAGTGCCATGGGCAACGGCCCTGGCGGACTAGAGGAGTACGTTGCCCTGTTTAGATCGGAGCCTCTTTCTCAGGGAGGACTCGTCTGGGAGTGGAACAATCACGGCCTGTTAAAGAAAGAAGGGGACCTGGAGTATTTCGCCTATGGTGGTGACTTTGGGGACGAGCCTAATGATGCCGACTTTATCATGGACGGTCTTACCCTCTCTGATCATACACCTATGCCTAGTCTGCTGGAGTACGCCAAGATCATCCAGCCGGTCACTGTACGCTTGACCGAGGACTCTAGCCAGATGATTGTGACCAACCATTACGACTTTGTTGACCTTAGCGGACTGAATGTGTTCTGGCATATGGTCTATGACGGGCAGACGACCAACCGGACTGAACTAACACTGCCCCGTGTACCAGCCGGAGAGAATCGCACTGTGGATCTGCCACTAAATACTGATGGCATCTCCCAGGAAGCGTGGCTAACGATCGAGTTTGAACTGAAGGAGAATCGAAACTGGGCAGACCAGGGCCACATTGTGGCCTGGGACCAGCTCTACCTGCCAGGGACTCCTGACCAGCGCTCAGTGGCAGCTGTTGAGCGTGCTGTGTCACCCGTTGCGCGTCAGGCCGGGCTGCAAGTAACCCAGGACCGAGCAAAACTCAACATCGCCACCGATGGGATGGTCTTTGGATTTGACCTCCTGCAGGGCAATGTCACCTGGGAAGTGGGTGGCGTCAGCATGTTCCAGCAGGGGCCGGAGCTCTACTTCTACCGAGCAATGACTCAAAATGATGAGGCAAGTGCAGGTGACGGCGTGGAATGGGATGCGGCCAAGGTCGGTATGATGCATACGCAGGTTCGGGACGTGACATGGTCACAGTCAGAGAACGAAGTGGTGGTTCACTTCCAGATCCGCGTGGCTCCAAAGGTGCTTGAATGGGGCGTGGAAGCCGATCTTATTTACACCGTGTCTACTGCGGAGCCGGCAATTCATGTCCAAGCCAGGGGTGAGTTTGTCGGTAAGAACACGCCGTCTGTCGTTCCTCGTATCGGGCTTATGGCTGTCATGTCCAAAGAGTTCAGTGATGTGAGCTGGTTCGGACGAGGCCCAGGAGAAAACTATAAGGACTCGAAGCAGGCATGCCGCATGGGCCAATATGAGTCGACCGTGGAGGACTTATTTACGTACTACGACTACCCACAGGAGAACGGAAACCGTGAGGACCTGCGGTGGCTGCAGGTTTCTAACGGGGAGGTGACACTGGATGTGCGTCGTGCAGATGAGGGGGCTTCATTCAGCTTCACGGCTGGACGATATATGCCATTCGATCTGAATGATGCAAAGCACCCTCATGATCTCAACCCTCTCAACGTCACAGTGCTCAATCTCGACTATGACAACCATGGCTTGGGATCCGCGACTGTCGGGCCTAAACCATTCGAGAAGTACAAGTGTAAGACGGAGCCATTCGATTTTACATTTGTGATGAGCTTGGCCTAGGGGGATGGCGTTTGATTCATGTGTTTTAATTCAGATGTAAACTTCGAGTGGCTGTAGTCCTATTCGGAGTATCCAATAGTCTATGAGAATAATCCATCAATCAGCCAATCGAGATCCTATCAATTTGTTGGATCCTGTCTGTAGAGGCGACTAGCTATGCAGGCGCTTCAGCCGAATGAAACAGGAACCTAGTATCCAAAACGCCAAAAAGAAGTAGTAATCAAACGATCCCAAAGCAGAAAGGCATAAGAAAGAGGGCATATAGCCACTAAAACATCACAGAGCAACCCAATGACACATCCCTTATCTGACCATTTGCGTTATTGGCATATCCGAAATTCCGATTTTCGGTGGACACTGCTTTATCCAGCAGCATTGCCATATATCCGTGGAAATCACCTCTTTCTTCTTGGGCCGACTCAATAAAGCTTTGCATTGACGTCCTCGGCATACGCACAATTCTTGCTTGTTCAGAGAGCAGAGATCAAGTCTGGTGGGGCCAGTGAATGTTCCCTGCGCGTACTGCACGCTTCCTGCAGGGACGGACATACTAGCCAAATAAAGATGTATATTAACTAGACTGTAAGGTGTGTACTTAGGGCTGACCCTGGCCGCTGATTAATTTCTGGATAATTCCGCGGAATCCGTAAGCTACAGCAGCGGTATTGCACTATTCTCCTAACTCTACAATTACAAGATCCTTAACAAATAATTAATTTTAGTTTATCCTGTCATAAGTCCTGCATCAGCTTGGGGCCGAGTTGTGTCAGGATGTCTGCGGCATTCTGAACCACAAAGAGACTGCATACTATTAGTGGAATCCCATCGAAAGCGGAACATGTGGCCATGCCAGTCGCGCGAGAGCCAAAAGTATACACGAACTTATACCCCTTTGAATGGACTTATCTAACTACTAACCGTGTATAAGCCACAAGTCTGGAGATTAGTAGTTGGGTGGGTGACCACCAGCGAATCCCTCCTCTTGTATGTTTTTGTTCACCCATTCCTTTTATTCGTTGGGGAAATACCCTTGCTACCCTACTACTTTAGCTCTTCACCTGAACGCCACGGGGGCCCTGACGCGTACCGGCACGCTCCCAGTGTCCCTCCCGTTGCCGACTTTTTCATGGCATGATGAGTGACAGGATATAGTGCTACAGCGGTCGGCATTATGAATTTGGGGATGTGCCACAGGGGGTACTTATGATTGACGCAAAAAGCAAGTATAATGGATCTCTCCATAGGATTGCACTTTGACTTCTCCTTGTGTGTCCGCGCGCTTCCGACAACACTTGGATAAATTAAGGGGTGCCTCCTATGGATAGATGCATTAGCTTGTGATAATGCGACATTTTACTACGCCGATTTCTTTAGTGATAGGGGGGCCTAAAAAAAAAAATGTACTGGTCTGGTTTGCTCACTTTTCCATCGTGAGCCCTCGCACTTTTAATTTCTACAATTTTACTTTCGCAAAGTCATATCTTCTTTGCCCCGGATCTAAGCAGGACCAAGAATCAAACATTTGGTAGATATGATTTCGCCTCAAATCCCCTCCTACGGCCAGGGGACCGACGAAAGTTCCCAGCTCCATCTGATGCAGCCAAAAGATTCATGCACCGTTCTACCCACAGCCGAGTCACAAAAGGTTCATTCTGAAGCAGATTCATCTCAACTTCGCGACGATCATCTAGCGCGCTACGAGTTGGTGAACTCTACAAACAAACAAAGAGACCGCCGGCCTGCCACAGCCACTCTGAAAGATTGGGGCTTGGAAACTGCTGGAATAGTTGTATCAGCTGCCATTATCATTGCTATTATTGTCATCCTTCAAAAGTACAATGGGCGCCAACAACAGGATTGGAAGCATATCTCCCTCAACTCTCTAATTTCCTGGTTGAGCACCCTTGCCAAAGCTTGCGTGATATTCTCTGTCAGCCAAGGAATTGGTCAGTTGAAATGGGTCTGGTTTTCAAAACGCAATCGACGATTGTCTGATCTAGATGTGTTCGACTCGGCAAGCAGAGGGGCCACCGGAAGTGCGTTCCTTCTATGGCTTGTGAGGGGACGGTATGTGAAATCTCAATCCTTTTCATCACCAAGGCAGGAGATCATACTTCATTTCTTCTTTCTGATTAGCCACTTGCAGAGATACAGCCTTGCTTGGAAGTCTAGCTATGGTTCTGGCCATAGGTTTTGACCCTTTCATCCAAAATCTAGTGCATTATGTCCCAGGTAGCATTGACAGTCCTTCTGAGATCTCATTGCTCGCAAGTACATCATTATATAACACAGTTGGGCCATTGGCAGGAGGCGGTCGTAAGTAAGCGTGGATTCGGAGCGCTTTCAAAATTTGCTGACAGTTTGACAGTATTTTACGTGGATCCCATTCTGAAGGCAAACGTGTATAGCGCCTTGTTCAATACAAACCCAGCGCAGCCATGGGCAGTTCCACAATATACATGCTCGACAGGAAACTGCACTTGGGCACCAATGGCAACTGTGGAAATCCGTGTCCTTTGCTCTAATCTCACTTCGACTCTAAGCACGTCATGCACTGATGGGCCAGGGTTCACCAACTGCACTGTATCATTGGACAGCGGTGTCGCAGTATGGTATTTGACTAGCGGTGGCTCTGCCCGGCCTATGGTCATCAATACGGTATCTGGAAGCTCTAAGACCTTCTATAGGAATAGCACTTTCCCTGTTATACAGTACATTTTGGCAATAGGGTCAAATAACAACCCAGCCGCGGGTGGCGGAATTTCTACCCAGATTGGGAAAAGCACTCAGTTTGTCGCCACAGAGTGTGCCCTTCAACCAACCGTTAGAAGCTTTCAATCATCCGTTATCATGGGGGTTTACCATGAAACACAGCTTGCAGAGTGGCCGGTCTTGAATAACACAGTTGAGAATCTCAGCTTCGCATATTCCTTCACACCTCCATGGAATGAGAGTTTGGGGGCAGAAGAAAGTCAAACTTTTGGTCTAGCCTTCGAGGCATGGAACTCACTCACTGTTTTCCTTAAATTCCTTTTCGCCGGCTATGTATCTGCAGCCTCTGATATTTTCAACTTTGAGCCATCGAACTTGGGGAGCCCATATGCTACGGCTGATGCCTTGGAGGCCGTCTTCTATAGCAATTTTACTGGCACCAACTGCCAAGATGCCGACCAATTGTCTTGCACTATGAAGAATGTTGCTGCTGCTATGTCTAAAACTATAAGGGACTCCGCATTCACTTACAGTACCAGTTATCGACCAATTGAGTTCACGAAGGCAAAAACTACTACTGGAAAAGCTCAGATTCATGTCTCATTTGTGGACGTTCACTGGGAGTGGCTCACTCTTCCAATTATTGTCTGGGTTCTGGGAGCACTATCCTGCCTTTGTACCGCATGGATGACCCACCAGGCTCATATACAGACCTGGATGAATAGCGTTCTGCCTTTGCTCTTTCTTCACCTTCATCGCGACAGTACCATCGACTTTCAGGGAAGCGGCGATGAAATTGTTGGAGTACAGTTGTCGAGAGAACAAAACAGGAACGATAGTGATGCCTCGAAGTGTTATAGTCTGGTTGGCTGTGACGATTCTTTAGAAGGATGTATTCGTATAGCAAAAAGGTCCAAAGCCAAGCTTCAGCCGGGCCCCTAGTATAACGATATACTTGAGTTGTCAGGATAGAAGCCTGGAAAGCAGGCCAGGTATATTTGGCAAGGAATACGTACAGAGATCAAAATACCGAATGTACATACAAGGAGTGATTGTTGCCAGAATCAAGTTGGGTCCGTAGTATAACAGATATAAACAGGATGGAAGATGAAAAATCGATCCCATGACGTTTTGGACGCGACTTGGAACTGGTTCACAATTGAATTTCCTCATACTGACGGACTGCTTCTGTAATGAATACCTCAGGCTCTAAGCATGGTGCAGTACACCTGATCCTCATTTACCCAATCCCGAGAATCATTGAGAAATACTGTTAGGAGGCTCTGCATGTGGATATATAATATGCTTATTACCGGGGCAGTGAAGGAATATCTTAAGAGTGTTTTGACGCCGAAAAGCTGGAGGGTCCTCTTGAAATAACTGGACAAGTAGTCCGCGAGGTCACTTGTTTAAGCTAGTAATAGAGGGTGAATCGAGAAGGCTTTTAATAAGGAGATCTGGATTCATAGACGATAATTGCGACAGAATGGGCGTAACTATTTCTATCTACAGTACTTTCTTGTATTCTAGTGGCATTTAGGGCCGATATTTGGTCCTGAAAATACGTCCTATCACATATTCCCGATCTACGTTTTACTCTTTCCCTTTTTGTCACGCTGTCTTCGTTGACCACCCTTTGTTATGGAGGAAGTCGGCGTATCATTGGTTTGGCTCTGTAGCATGGACAAGTTCAATTTATTCCACTAAGAACGTTCCATTTTTAGAAGGTATAATATTCGGTAAGTAGGGAAGTAAATGATGTTGATTCCATTAACATTTGCGAGTCGGCAGACAGGAAGCCATGTGATTGCGTGATTAGTTCATTTCAAACAAAGCTTTGACATCAACTCTATAAACCGCCTACAGAGGCTACCCGCAGCTTTTTTCTGAAGCCCTTGATCTAGTCCTGCCGCAAGTTTCCGTATCCTATACCATTCATATTGACGTTCTAATCTACCATACAGTAACTTTGCAGGAAGCCCTTACTAGGAGAAGCTGAACAAAAAAAATGTGCGTAGCATTATTCTAGAACGGTTTTATTTAAGATGAATCAACATCTTCATATCTTATCCCACAACCCAACTAGCTTAACTAAGCCTCTTATAGAGCAGGAATTCTAGTGTTCTATCTTTTTCTATTCAGGTAGAAATAGTGAAATTGAAACTATTTCGGCAAACAACTTCACTAATCCAAATTAGCCTTGCGGAGCTTGCATTCCTTCTCGCATTCTTCTTAGGTCGGTAGAATTCCATACTAAATAATTTAGATCCCATAGCTATATTCAATCTGCAATAAGCTTACTGAAATTTCTGAATGCGACTTTTGCGTGTCAGTTTCGGTTCTTCAGGTAAAGGGCTAAAGAGACTTCCTGTTAGGGCGGCAAGCCACCTAGCATAAACTCGTTGGCGGTAGGTGATCACCAACATACAATACCTGTTGTATGTTTTTCTTTTGTGTTCTCTGTTATTGTGGTGGACGGCTGTTTTTGAACCTATAGTCGACATGTCTCGGCTGCACTACCCGAGTCCGGGTGATATTATTACGGCGTCGTAGGGGCCAGTCACAAAAAGCGTGCTGTCAATAGCATGACATGGGGATTATTGGCCTCATAGCTCTCACTAGCAACTAACTATGAGAAGGGGATTCAGCTGGATTTCCGGTTATTAGTACATGCCATTGGGTTAGAATGTAGGGATACCTGTTTTTTTGACAGAAATATTATTATTATTATTCATTTTTATTTTTTTAGAGTAGGTCAGTTTAACCCAGCTGTCTACATATGATAGTATGCCCCAAGCATGATCTTCAAAGAATTAATGATTGATTTTAAGCCGGACTCCAGGGCCGTGTACTATTATCTATAAGCTGGCTCTCTTCGAATATCATAGATTGTGCTAGGCATATATGGGCGGTATGCCTCGCTACGACAGTCGATAAGGATTTACTATTTGCGGGGTATTCCGAGTTAGCCGCCTTTTCACAGTACTAGAAATGTACATAATGGCTAGGTATGCCTGTATAACATAAGTGCATATATGTAGAGGTGTTGCCGAGGAAGATCCAACGCCGACGGCTTCGTGCCGATTACCTAACCGAGTATGTACATACATAAACCGTTCGAGTGCACTTATCGAGCATAAACACCACCACACTTCCTTATTCACGAAACCAATATATATAAAGTCCGCCTATCATAATTGATACCCATGTCAACTCCTCTTTCCTACTTTCGATCGACCTCTTGGGGTGCTGCCTGGTTGAACCATCCCGATCTCAGGATCGACACTAGCGCATCCAACCCTTTTCGAGAGACCACCAAACACGACGATGCATGGAAGGATCGCACTTTCTTATATCGAGCCTCGCACGACCCAATGGGGGTTAAATCCGAAGGATACATCGTGATGCAGATTGGAGCCGGGGTATCGGGGAAAGATGGGGTTGCCCATGGAGGGTTTCTAGCAACGCTTATGGACGAAATTACCGGAGGCCTGATAGTATTATTGGACCTTGATCGTGGACTTGGGATACGCACTGCCAGCTTGAACACTACATATCATAAGCTACTCCTTGCGCGGGGTTTTATCATGGCGCGCGCGGAAGTTGTCAAGGTTGAACGCCGGAAGGTATTCGTGAAAGGAGAAATAAGGGACGCTGCTGGGAATGTCTGTACCACAAGCGAAGCTCTTTTCATTATAAATAGATCTTCCCTTTCCTAAACCTCATACGCATTAGGACATCATTAGTACCATTTTCCTCCACCATGGACAAAAGAAATGCCTATAGCAAGTTTTTATAGTGTACATAGAAGCCCTGAAGACGATGACATAAGCTGGATTTCCCCGCGCTGAAGTTGGAGATCGGAGGGAGTCGATCCCCAAGCTGAGCATATCTCTTCGTTTCGCAGGCTGCAAAATTCATTACGAGCTATCTTAGCGACCAGGACTATTAACTACTAGATTATTCATACCCATGGACCGGCACCTGCCAGGAGGGCGTAGGCCGCGCCGATCTGGACCCCGCAGCAGGAAGGGTACGTGTTTTCATTGCTCGAGGAGCACGTGTTATGGAACTATTAGCTAATAAGTATAGGTTGGTACGATATAAAATGCACAATAGGTCATTTGTTTAGGTTCTGACCATGGATGTAGTCTTACTTGTCGAGGAAGACATATTCGCTGCGATGAAACTCGGCCTGTTTGTGGCAATTGTAGAAAGTCACGACTACAATGCCAACAACCGGACTTTGTTTCATCGAAATGGAGCACTTTCGATCCTGCTGTCGTCGGAGCGGAGAGACGTAAGATTAGTCAAATTGATACTCCCTCTTGACGTTTGCTAAGATGAAGCTGCCGCAGGCACTGAAACACCGCCGAAGCCCAACCGAGACGGTCAATGCAACAAAATCAACCCTAACTGTGCACCTAGGTCTCAGAGAGATGGGGAACAACAAGTACAAGAACCACAGAGAATGTCCCGCGCTGTTGCAGATCGTGAAGGAGCGTCTCCTCCCGCAGAGTCTATGATAACGCCAGAAATTGTCCACCTTCTCCGGGTATACGAGAAAAGCATCGCGACTTGGATGGACGTGTTTGATTCGGAATTCACCTATCAACGGCGGCTGCTGTGTATGGCTCCATCGTCGCCGCTTTTATTAAATGCTATCTGTGCTCTTGCAGCACGGCAACTGAGCCTCATTGAATCTCCACGGACCTGGAAACCGGTGGCTGAACACTACTATGGCCAAGCTGTTCATTTTCTTGCCCGCCTTCTCAGTGCTTTCCCCAACAAGATGGAACTCGCGAATGTTGGAACAATCCTACTGAGCAGTTATGAGCTCCTCGCTTTTCCAGGTCTCGATTATCAAAGGCATTTCAAAGGCGCACACACAATCATAGAATCATTACACGCCCACAACTCAGCAAGCTGCTTAACTCGCGCTTCGTTCTGGATATATGCACGGCACGAGGTGGCTGAAGCGCTGAATCGCAATTCGCCTACTTTTCACGACCCGGGCTCGTGGCCAAAGTTTAATCTTTCAGCAGCTGAGCCAGCAGAGGATTCATTCTGTAATGACGTTTTACGCCTGACCGCTGAAACTGTCTGCATTGTTTTCGGAAAAACATCGAGAAGCAGGACAAAACGGAGAAAACGAGACCTGTCAGCTGTCCAGAGCGAACTGTGTACTTGGCTGCATCGGTGCCCAAAGCAGTGGAAAGGAATTGAATACGCAGAAGATGGAAACGTCCGATACTGGTTCCCACGACCAAATTTTGGTACAGTTCTTCCCCCTACATATCTCAAATCCCAACCTGACAGTAGAGGACTCGAAAGCCGCTGCACTAGTTTTCTATCATTTATCCATGCTGCTTCTGTGGCATGACCTTGAAAAGGTCCAGGAGGGACCGGAAAATGTGAATGAGATATATGTAAATCTCCTATGACAACACCTCCCTCGCTCAAGCCTCCCTGACCCCGATTCTGACTTCCATTGCAGGATCAAGTCGACGCACATTCAAGGCAGATAATATTGATCGCTCTGTCAAGCCTTCCAGACTCCGCCATAGTTGTGGTTGTTCAGCCCCTTTGCTACGGTAAGAAATCGCGTCGGTGGTTGTATAAATATCATGTGCTCATTTGTTTACTTGCTCAGCGGTGAAACACGTCAGAGATAACACACTTAAAGAGAGTGCCATATTATTGCTTGACAATATCGAGGCGCAGACTGGCTTTCACACGAAAAGCAAGCTTGAAAGGCAACTCTGCCGTTGATAAAGGGAATTGCTATGAAGAACAGATAGACCATAACAACAACCACAAAGACCTACTTAAAGACAGTAGTATGAATATTCGGAAAGAATTCATTGCCTTTTTTTTTGTTGTGATCGAGCCTTGCCTTGTTAATCCACAATCAAGGATCGGACAAGACTATGACATCTTCCATAAGTTCGTTAATTCTCCTATTCAACAAAACGTCTGGCCAATCTGCAGACCACGGGTGTGTTTTGTCTGAATCGAGGGTTTAAATTGGCTTATTTGCTGTCCCGGAACCAAGGAATCGTTGATCTTTTTAGCGACAAAATCCACAGTTGACTAAAGAAATACAGTGAGTGGATTTTTTTTGCTTAATTTTATTTCGTACAGTAGATGTGGGTTTGACGGCGATGCTACATATAGCTTGGGAAATATAGTAAATTCCATGAAAATCGATAACAACAACTATCACTCGCAAAATGCCAAAAAAGAATCCAACGAAACAGTAAATTCCTTCTATGCTTCGAGATCCCTCTTCCAAATCTTCACCGGCAACTCAACGGGCCATAAATTGAAAGCCTCTTCATTCTGCAGTGTCCAATCAGGCGAAGGAAGAGAGAAGTCATATCGGTACACAAGGGTGGCGATCAGGATTTGCTGCTCAATCATGGTAATATTTCTCCCAATACAAGCACGACCACCCGCACTAAACGGTATGAATGCATCTCGCATCGTACCGATGTTTTCATTGTTGAACCATCTCTCTGGCAAGAAGGCCTCTGGCTCCGGGAATACATCCGGGTCCCGATGGGCGACATATGCAGGAACCGAGACACCTACATTCCCAGGAATAAACTCACCCATGATATGGGCTCCCGTGGGAGGTGTTACACGCTCGAGGCCCCGCGGAAGCGGAGGTGATAGACGTAAGGATTCCTCGATGCAAGCCTTCAAATAAGGCAAACTTTTCACCTTGGCATAGGGAGCAACTTTGTCTCCCGCGATGGCTTCTGACACCTCCTTCCTTAGCTTTAAAAAGCAATGTGGGTTTTTGATCAGATAGTAAAGTAGGTGAGCCAAGGCAATCGCCGTTGTCTCAGACCCGGCATCAACTAGAGAAGCTCATATTAGCCTGGGCTCATGGAGTTTTGTTTGCCAAGGGAATGAATGCCTTACGCAGGATGTTCGTTTCTGCCTTGAGCTCGCCCATATCGAGATCTCGAGACTTGCCTGCCTTATCCTTGATAAGGCAACTTAGAAAATCATCAATGTTTTCACCATCTTCATGTCGCCGCAATCGCTTGCTAGCCAAGTGGCTCACAATCTGGCCGACGTTGCCTCCACAGTCCCATTGTGAACGGCAGCACGAGGAGAGAAAGATAGTAACTTGTTTCAAGACGTCGTACCAATCTAAAGTACCAATAATCTTCGACTTCACCCGGGCTGCTTCATGCATGTCCGCAATGAATCGATGTGCGCGATTCTCCTCACGCGGACCACCAACTTTGACGACGTCCGACCCAGATTCGAGCATACCAAGTCGCTCACTCAACGCGATATCAGCAATGGCATCGACTGTAAAGAGGTTGAACCAGTATCTGACGTCGACCATACTAGTGTTCGGTTGATCTGGGCCATTATTCCATGACGGGGCATGTGCTCTCCTATCAAACTGGGCCACTAGCTTTTCGACTTTATCAGTGATTTTGAACTCCCAAGATTCCAGGTTCTTGGTGGAAAAAGCGTGCGATAGCATTCGGCGCTTCCGATTGTGATCCTCCCGGTCAATGACGTTAAGGATGTTCATGTATCCCTCGCCGTTCTGGAGTTTGTACATTTCATGCTTTTGGCAGGGAGATCCGAAGCCGTAGATATCCTTGATGGCCTTAACATCCCGGAACGAGAGCATATTAGGGGCAACACGAATGACAGGATGCTTTTGATGTTGAAGATATAATTCTCTCGTTCGGAATTTGCGCAGTCTCTCTCGCATGGAGGCCAAATTGGTAACGCCGGAGAGGAGATTTTGGTTCGGATATTTTCGCAGTTTCTTGCTATCGTAGAAGTAAAGGACCAAGGGCCTTAAGGCCAAGACCACAAAAATCACAATGAAAAGCCTTCCTAGTGCCATTGTAGGGGTCACTCTGAAATTGTTGGAGATGATATGGGATGAATTTCAGCGATGGTTAGCTGGTCTTGGGACAGCGAAAGATGGTACACCTGTTAAATGAGAGTCTAATGGTGTTTATAAGCCATTGACTGTCACGCTCATTTGCCTGCTCAACGAAGATTGATTGAAATGACCCAAGTGGCATAGTCCCCGCCTCGTGAGAGCTACCTGATAGGGAATGTTAAACGCAATATCTCCACTACTGTTTAACTTGGGCACGCTCCATGCATTGCTTTGAAGCCTTCTCCGGCACATCTATCTCTAGCCAACAATGGTCTGCTGACTGTCTTTTATGGAAAAGTATCCTTACGCTCCAGCCAAGGAATGGCTTTTGAATACGGGGTTGGAGGCATCTTCTATTCGACTTGGGTGGACGTTCCGTGTATTTTACCCCAAACGGTAAAGGAGCCGGCAATTGTGATGATCGTCGGGCCGCAGAGTGTGGATCATGCATTGATATTGATAAATGTAGGGCCACAGTTGATTTTTGATCTTATCTCTAGCCACCAGTTTGCGTCAAACGCACGGTGAGTGGCTTACCTTGTCTATTACACGCTCGCCCTACACACTTCCCCAAGCTCACCGGGTTGGACTTTTTTGGCCAAGTAGTTGAGTGGATATACTAACGACCAGCGAATCCCTTACTGTTAGGTGTTTTAGTTCGATTAATCAGATTTGTATTTTTAATATAATATATATTATAGAATACAAGAGATAAACTACAGGAACGAGGAGGCGGCTATAGAGATAGAGAAATCTATAACTAATATTATATTACACTATATTACTGTTATATAACTTGCTCTAAGACTGAGCTGTGAAAAGTTAGGCTGCAGAGTTGCACATCTGGTACAATATGATAAAGGCATGTCTAGAATATTGGAACTCATCATTATATTTTGAGGACAAGCAATTAGTCCATTAACAGGGACGATTTTAATGTGCGGAATTAAATGGGGCAAACTTAAACCTTAAGACGCTGACCTACTGCAACCCTCATTTACGCGAAGAATGCTGGTGACTAAATCCTATCACATCGCGACATCAGGCACATGAGGTAAATTATGTAGAAGCATACCCATACCGTTTCAAGTACCCGCTAATTTCATCTTGGGATATTGTACGAGATGCGATACCGATTAATTCAGGCTGGGAGCCCTAGTTGGGCCGGCTGGCAGAACAACCCGGCCAGCTGAATCTCTAGCTAGTGCTATATTGTATGGCATGCGTGATTGAAAAATCCTGAGATCCTTTGCTTGATCTCTAAATCCGTCTCACTGGGAGCGCAAATAGCCCCAATTGCTCTCCACATAGTGCACAGAAGCTCGTGACGTGGCGCTTTGATTTTAGGTCAGCAAGGCCAGGATATATGAGAGCCCGGTCGAGCCGGACTTGGGGTATGAGAGAATGTAGGTGTCAGTGTCTCTGGTTTTAAGCTGGCGGGACAGTTATCGCCTCGGTGTTCTATGTGGTGGCATAATATGGCCTTCTGGGCAGACAATATTTATAGCTAGAGTCCTATAACTATTTAAGCTTTGTTGGTAACTTGATCTTCTTCCCCTTCATATCGCTTTTTGTGTACCCTGCATTGGCCTCCTTAACTGGGATTTAATTACTCACGAACCTTAACTAGTAAAGGCCTTGGCCAGTTAGGGTTAATCCCACGCGGCCTGCCTTTCTAGCATCAACTGTCTGACCACCAATGTAACCATTGTCAAGGGTCTGGATGACTTACGGCGGACTGATCTAACCGGTTTGAGGATCCTTGCACTTGAATAACTCTCCTTAAAATGGCTTAAACTGTGCAGGGATACCGATCCGCTGTCATTGATCCTCCATTTAGAATAGTTTTGACATGCATGACAGTCTTGCAGAAAATTAAATACGAAGACATGTCTCACTCTGAAGGCAAGGGATGTGGAGTAATCTCTCTTACATTCTCCCTGGCATTCCACTCCACCTTTATTTATCCCTCATTTCCCCCTCTTTCCCGCACCTCGAGCCAGCTAAGTGACTACGATTATGCCAATATTATGACATTATGATGTGGCGTCTATGTCTTCTTCTTCTCATCCTCCAAGATGCTACTACTCATGCAGCAAATCCCCTAGTGATGAAATGGTCATCACAGGCATACGGCCCAGACGGTCCATGGCAAGCTGTGACGATAGCAGTGGGCAGCAATAGACAGCCAATCGATCTTTATCCCGGCGCCAATGGGGCCACCACGATCTTCGTCGACTCGATCTGCTCGAACACAACCCTGTCGACAACATGTTATGCAGCACGCGCCGGCACATACAACCAGAGTGAATCAACCACGGCGTTGGCCTTGAATCAGAGCGCGTGGGAGACATCTTATTGGAACGTACAAGGAGGAAGTATACAGGGTTTCGTTAGTGACCAGGTCGATGTTGGCGCTGTTGTCCCAAACGTCAGCCTCACGGCGGTCTATCAAACATACCAGACCTACCCCAATGGCAAGGATTATCCGGTCCCGGTTGGAAACCTAGCGATTGGTGGGCCGCGTTTAAAAGATATGGCCTCAGGGTTAAGTCTCAACATGATCGCAGCGGGGCTATACACCTCTGAAGGAGACAACCGCATTCCATCTTACTCGTACGGACTGCACATCGGGTCTGTAGAGCCAGCTATTCCAGGGTCTCTGGTGTTGGGCGGATATGATAAGAGTCGAGTTCTTACTGGGGTAAGTTCACAGTCAGTAAGCCTGTCATCTTATTCTAGTGGCTTGTGGCAGATTGTATTGAAAGATATTGGGGTGGGCGTTGCGACAGGAGACTCACCATTCGACTTTACGAGCAAGACTGGGCTGTTCATGCAAGGCAACGGCGCCGTACTAGCGAAACCAGTCACGATTGACCCTACGAAGCCCTATATGTATCTTCCCGAAGCCACCTGTGATGCGATCACATCGCCGTTTCCTGTCTCGTTCGACAATGGCTTGGGCCTATACATCTGGGACACGACCCACAGTAACTATGCGAATATCACGTCCTCCGCGACATATATTTCCTTTATATTCAGGAAAGATGGTCTCAACGATCAAACGATTACAGTCAAAGTTCCCCTGAGGCTTCTCACGCTTACGCTGCAAGACCCGCTGGTCGACCGCAACGCAACGTATTTCCCCTGTTTCCATTCCACTGATACCCCGGTTCTCGGTCGCCCTTTTCTACAAGCTGCATTTGTTGGTGTGAATTGGTTCCAAGGGAACAACACTGGTACATGGTTCTTAGGTCAAGCGCCAGGTCCAGGTCTTCCCGAGGCGGATATAACAACGATTAATATCGATGACACCACTCTTGCCGCATCAGACAACTCTTGGGAAGAGAGTTGGGCTAAACATTGGTCTCCTTTACCAGAATCCGGCTCCAATAGCTCGAATAGTTCGAATAGCTCCATCAGCTCCACCGGTGGTCTTTCCACAGGGACAAAAGCCGGGATTGGAGTTGGAGTTGGAGTCGCAGGAGTTCTTCTCATTGCTGGGGGGGTATGGGTCGCGATGATACGGCGACGTCGCGACCGTAAGCCCGTTGCTGTGGAGGAAAGGAGGGTCCAATTTCGAGGATTCGCTGAATTACCTGTTTCGACGAAACAGGATGGGTATCCAAGAGAATTGGACACAAAAGACAATGTGCAGCCGCAAGAACTGGTGGGCGCTCACCAACCACGGCATGAGCTAGAGTGAGCCGTTATCTGTATTTGTAACTCCTATGGGGCATCCCATTCTTAATGACCGTTGTTTTAATTGTGATGTTGTATGCAATACAGCTCATGTTATATGACTATGAACAGCTAGCCTTGGACGCAACAGAGATAAAACCACAAATTAGAGGTGCAACGTAAGTGCCACTTGCCAGAGATAATGAATAGAGAGTCATGTGGGTGCCACATTCGTGCGTGAAATACTGCAATATTGTCAACTAGTATACTACATCCGTCACAAACACCTCTGGAAATGCTTCAATTGGAGCGATGAAGGATATATAGATAATACTCCGTCCGATCCATTCACCATTTGATTTTACGTATGGACTAGGCCACGATATTCACAGACCACAACGTACTATTGTCCCCACACGAGACAGAATATAGTTTAATCGTTTGCCATACTGCAGAGCAAAGGGCTGCCAGAAAAGCAAACTCCAGCCGGCGAGTAGAAACATATACCCCGTTCCTTAATCAATTGTACTGACGGAGACACCTGTTCCCTCAGAGAGGGAGACAAGCACGGAATAGACAACAGAGCAGGCAGCTCCTGGGATACAATGCTGTTCCATTCATCCAGCTTGTGATATCAGGACAACCTCCCCTCCTCAGTATCGCGGAACCATTCCGGCCTGCCGAAAGCTATCTACTTTTTAGAGACCTTACGGTTCGGTAGCAGTGCCTATAGCAGAACAGAAAGTCTGCTGTTTTGGCTGTGGGGTTGTGCATAGTAACGAGTGCCATAGAGTATCGCACTTTTTAGCAGGATTTGGTTTAGCGCTTCCCGAAGCCCACCGCGGGGGTGCAAATCATCACTCAATCTATACGACTACTTAAAACACTTGCGAAATTGGCATGCTCATTGTCCGGAGATACGTTCCGATTCACCCTTTTTTTTTTTTTTTTCTTTCTTTTCTTTCTTTTTTTCTTTGCATATTCGCCTTGCTCCTTGTGGAAATCTCGACCCTCCTCCAGTTTAAATTTTCATATCTTTCGTTGAGATCCGTTAACCTGCACCAACAGATATATACTAGTTCACAAGACCCATGAGCCGAGTAGCCGCCGCCTATATACACGGCAGAGTATTCACCGTGGACGAGAGGAAGCCATGGGCTGAAGCTTTCATTGTGTCCGCATCAGGGCGCTTCGAAGCGGTGGGAACCAACGAAACAATCCTAAACTCGGCGAAGGAACAAAGCCTGCCCACTTATGACCTGAAGAATATTTTCATAATGCCCGGAATACACGATGCACATACACACCTACTGCTTGCCTCCATGCAAAAGCTAAACGAAATTGACATCGGATCAGATAGTACTGCTACTACCACAGGGGCGAATATCAAAAAGGGCCAGTCTGCCTGTGCCTGTGCTGATGCCCATGTTCGAGGAGACTGGCTCATTGCGAACTTCTACGCAGGCAATAACTTCCCGGACGGGAAGATAGACCGCACGTATTTGGATGATGCGTTCCCAGACCGACCACTACTCGTTCGTGATATTTCCTGTCACAATGTTGTCATGAATAGTGCCGGACTGGAGCGTGCTGGTTATGATATCGAGGTCAACAAGGAGGACCCTCCAGGTGGTAAGTACGTACGCAGACCCGACGGCAGCATGACTGGGAAGTTGGTCGAAGCTGCCACCACTCAGGTTTGGTCCAGGCTCCCTCAACCACCCATTTCGTACGTGAAGGAAGCTATTCTATATGGAATAGAAATGTCCCATAGATTTGGAATCACGTCTGTTCAAGAGGCATCCGCAAACACGATTTACCTGCACGCTCTGCGCGAGCTGGAACAAGAAAATCGACTGCAAATGGAAGTTTTTCCTCATATTGTTCATGCCCCAGAAACCTTCGCGGCCGAAAGCCAAGAGACTTTGCATCACCTCATTGAGAACGCTGACACATTTTGCAGCGAGCACGTTGATCCTCGGTTTGTCAAATTCTGGATGGATGGTGCACCGATCCCACCCCATTTTACACATTGTGAATTGGGTCCGGACGGCTCTCCTGATGAGAATAAGCTACTACTGAGCTTTGATTCATTGTTAAGCGCGCTGATACAGCATGATGTGAGAGGCATGACATGTAAAATTCATTGTGCTGGAGAGGGCTCGGTAAGACGAGCACTGGACGTGTTGGAAATAGTTCGACAATCAAACCTTGCAGGCCCGCAGCATGAACTGGCCCACTGCAACGCAATCTACAAAGGTGAGAGACAGACAGTTCAGATCAAGGAAACCCAAGTATCTTGCTGAAAACCAACCTTTTGCTGAAAGATTGATATTCCTCGAATGGCAAAGCTCCAAATCACTGCGGAGATGTCACCTGCAATATTCCACGACACAAGTCTGACAGTGAACTTTCCCCATATCTTTCAATGGCCGTTCAAGGAGCTGCAGGATGCTGGAGTCCATGTTACTGTGGGTTCCGACTGGATATTACCTCCCACACCAGACATCTTTCCTGCGCTGTCAGCAATTGTGGAAAGGTTTGTTTCGGAACCAGGCAAAGCAGCTGAAGAAGCTGGAGGAGAGAAAATTTGTCGGATCATCACATTGGCTGGGGCAGAGGCAGTAGGTCAATCGAGGGAGTTGGGCAGTATTGAAGTTGGAAAAAAGGCGAATTTCATTGCCGTTGATCGAGACTTGAGTCGCGGTGAATTTGCCGGCGCGAAAGTATTGAAAACGTGGTTCGAGGGAGAGGTTGTCTGGGAAGACGGGGGAAACGTCGATCCCAACGTAGGAAACCTCGTTCTAGATTTTGTCTAATGGAAGGGCTTCATGCTAAGAAATGATAGTAATAGATACCCAGACTAGCAAGTCTATAAGGTCACAGAAACGCCGGCGGTCCATCAAGAGAGTATATTAGCCGCTCCATGTAAGCCAAGCGTAGGAAAGAGTATTTAAATTGGATATTCAATATTTTAGGTAAATTAAACTGAGCAGGAAGATGGGGCTTTATATAGAAAACGTGACTTATTTTGCGTAATAAGCAGGTTGATAAATGTTGACCAGGATTTCGGTTTGAGGCACGACCAAATGCCTAAGGGTTATCTTGGTAGAGTGGCACAACACTTAACAATAAATACAAAGACCACAATTTAAGCAACAAGGGCCTTTTCTGAGGGAAGCCCATTGGGATCGGGGCCAGGGCTTTGAGGAAGCCTAGTCTGGTTGTAATGATATACCTTGATGAATGTAGGAAATCAAAGCCGGAGTTTATTTAGTCTAAATTGACTAGAGTAAATCTACCAATTTGTTGAATAGTCAAGAGATATATTTTCGCATGATGATAGGTCCTTTTGGCGCTACATGCTCTCTACTTCCCCTAACAATTGCTCACTACATGCAACCTGCCACGGACGTAGAAGAAGAAGAAGAAAAAAATTCCGAGGTAGATAGTTGATTCAACCTAACTCATTACAGTTGTTTGACAGAAAAAAAAAAGGCTATCAGGTTTAGCATCGACTTTGAAAGGTGCGAGCGGTGTGAACAGTACACAACTTGTAGTTTTTACCATGAACCATAGTAAGAGCCGTTTAATCTTCCGTGTTATTTCACAGTCTTCAGGCCGTAACTGCAGAATTTGTCTGTGATTGAGGCAGCAGAGAAGATGCCACCACGGAAGCTGCGTCAATCTTTGCTAAATGCGTGGCATATGAGCCAAAAAGCATCTGTACGACCCGTTGCGGCTTTGGGTCCCAACAATAGAACCTTCCAGTAGAGCGCATTTTTTGAAGGTCGACTACGACAAAAGACTCAACGGGCATGATAGTCTCTGTCCAGAATAACAGGTATAGCTGGTCGCAGAGCTTGAAGATTCTGCAGAATTCGGTATCGGCCAGTCCCTTTTCAGTTCCGGATAGACAATGCCAGGTCAGTGTCCCACTATTCAGGTAGACGTGTTCGTACGCATCTCTGGGCGAGTAACGGTACAAAATGTGTCGACCAACGAGCTCATCTGTCTCGGGGAACGGTGTGGCGTGGGGAAAAGTAGTAACATGGCCCTGGAGGAAGTCGGTCGTAGTCCGTCGTTGTCCTTCCACTTCCTCGAGCTTCGACAACCCCGCAATGACCTGGCCAGTTGAACGATTCCAGACCAAGCTCACATGTTCCTCGAATTCTCGCTTGTAAAAGTCCACGAAGAAGATGCCAGATCGTACCTCAAAGGCCTTGTAATCATTTTTGCCTTTGACTCCTTTTTGAGGTCCCGTGGTGACCTCCCAGTTCAAAGAACTCTCGGTAGCAAAATGATGGGAGATAGAAATATTGCCGTCAAAAATGATGTTGACGACCTCACATACTAGGGCAGACGAGGCTGGCATTAAATGCTCTGCAAAACCCACTGCAAGCTCTTCGAGAGTAGGCCATTGTGAGACCGGGACAAAAGCATTCGATTCGGTGGTTGACATTTTGGATGGGATGACTAGGCAGCAGAGCTTAGAGCTTGTTTGAAACAGAGCACTTCCCGAGAAAGCGATAAAAGGTTCAAAATTGCAAGACGGGAGGTTCGTTGCATGGTAAGAATTTATATCAAGATCTATATACTGCTAGTACGGTTGCCGCGGAACTGAACCGCTCGGCCCATTCTAGCCAATCGCACTTTTTGGCCCCAAAGGGTTTGGCGCAGATTAAATCCTACTAGTAGATTATGGACCCTAGTAGGGCATGACCGCCATGTCCCCAGCTATACTTGTATCTCACGTCGAGCAACTCCGCTTGTTTCCTTCACACGATTATGCCGACCCTTATTCCCCTCGTCCTACCAATTCCTTGCGCAAAGGCGACAAAGCGAGCTCGACTCATGATATCACGTGAGTTATATACGAATATGCTCGATGGGCAAGATCCCAAGGATTTAGAGCCTTTCTCAAGCCAAAGGTCAAGTCTACAGTGGTTTTCTGATCAAGTGGAGAAGCTCCATGCCGTATTGCAACCCGACTTCCATCTGTCGTCTGAAGATACTTCAACCCAGAATGAGACTGCTAGTCAAGTTGTCACCAGCCCTTTGGATCTGGACCATTCAAAGGGGGACTCGCCGAGCATGAAAAGCGAATGCGCTACCGACTATAGTGTGATATGCAATTCATGTTCAGTCGATTGTCAGACTATCTGCTAACACAACTTCAGCCCGCATCGGAGGAAGTCCTTGAGATACTGTTACGGAGATGCGATCGTCCCTCTGGGAGAGAAATGTAGAGCTCTCGCTACCTTCTCACTTGACAAACGATTACACATTTCTGGTTGAACATTATTTCGCTTGGGTCTGTCATATCATGTCAGGGTTCGATTTGCCAACAAATCCATCACGCGCGTGGATCGCAGCACTTCTGCCTTAATCCACCGTTGTGCTTTATCGATTTCGGCAGCGCACCTTGCACAGCAAAGGAAGGCAGCACGCACACTGGCTCTGACTCAAAACACGAACGCCCTCTCGTGTCTTGCGACCAAGACTGCTCAGATAAGAGAACAGGTGTTGATAAGGGTTAACGTCATACAAAAGACTCGAGTTCAGTCACCGTATACTTCTTGGTATAATAATTCTGGGAATGACTTCAGAATGTGCTTCTTGTTTTAACTTTATTTCTGATTGTAGCTTACCTTGCTTCGATTCAGTCTTCGTACAACTCTGCTGCATTGGACCTGGAACATCTCATAGGACCACGTGTCCTGTTTCGGGCACAGATTTTACCTGCCATCGCCATACCATCCTGCCCAAATTCATCGCGTACCATATGTTCGCCAGATCCCCGTTTTCTTGGAAGGACCATGGCCTACTGGGAAACTGTGGGGTCTTTCGTTGCAGACCAGGAAATTGATACAGTTGACTACCTCCTACCTTTTTGCAAGCTAGGTGGTGACGGAGGTTCGGGTGTCAATCCTTGGAGCGGAGTCTTAGCTATTCTGTTCCTTTATCTGTCCAAAGTCGGATCGATAGCCAGGCAGCGCCATCATTTGCGGAAGATTTTGCGCCACTTTCCAAGATAGTAGAGGAGGCTCACCAAATACTTTTGCAGAGGGCTAGGAATATTGAAGCCTTGGTAAGTCGGCATAAATTACTGGCAACAAAAGCACTTGGAAGCACAGGAGAAGACCTTACTCCAGTCGGCTATTTTCAAACTCTAGACAGGGCTTACCAACCTTCAATCCTTCTGGAGCTCTGTCGAATGTTTCTTGAGTTGATGTTCGAGGAATCGTCACTGTCATTATCAATTTTGTTTTTTTTTTTTTTCCGGACGAAGCGCAACTACATCTAAAATACCACGGTCAACTGTATGGATTGGCCGTTGGCATTATGTCATTAATCGCATCCATCCCTGAGACCTCAGGAACTCGAGCTGTACGAATAATGGCTCTTGTTATCGCCAGCAGTACGCTTCATTGTGGTAGTACCGAATATGTCGGCGGCATACGGGACGCAGGCTTTATTGAATCGTCCCTTGGATACAAGGATGTGATTCTATTCTGGCGCTCGTTTGTAACGTCCCGGCTACAAAACTGGCTCAGTATGTAGGGCTGGACACAGCACGCCGCGCGTATATGACCATCGTGGAAACGTAGGAACGAGAAGCACAGAGAACCTGGCAGTCGACGAAGAACTCAGCGAGGCTTAGTGCCTCAAGTGTACAGTGGCCTGATCAAGAAAGAGAGTTTCGATTAAAGTTACTCCCAGGGATAGTGGCCTCGCAGCCCAAGGCTGCACAGCCCAAGGCATCCACCGGCTCTTCCGGGTTCCCATGGCAAACTATATCATCATTACGTCTGTCTCAGAGAACGGCGAACCCATCCGTTATTTTATATTATCCGTCTAATGATTAAACCATTCATCTTCCTCATGTTGCTGCTCTATTTATTATGAGATGAACATCATATAATTCCCCAAAATGGCGTCTATGTGGAAGAAGACCCAAGCTAAGCTAGGTCTGAATCTTCCCATAGTGCTGCTGATGTTCAAGTATGCTTTTCCAAGAGCTTGCGTATAATCTAATTCTAAACTGACGAGTACGGACTACAGAGGTGCAATTGCACCGACAATTGGACTCGCAATGTACATCCACTCTCTCCAGCCGGACTAGCAAAGTGTGCTTATATTCTGCAGATATCAGAGTGACGCTGTGGCAAAGCAGTTTTCTACCATTGGCTATCTCATTCCCATCATGTCTATTCTCACGATTCCAGTCGCGCCACGAGCCCGGTTCTTCCAAAATCTTATAGTGAGCATGGTATTGGCCCGTACTTCACGTTTGACGTAGTTTGTCTGGGCTAAATGTCTTGTACACTAGCTTTTGGTGGGGTTCGCAGTCGCATTATCTTTCTTATCAATGTGGTGTGCCATCCGTGCACGCAAAAACACAACTCATATACCTCAGGGAGGCAACGGCGCAGGTCCGGTTACTGGTGCTCCTGTAAGCCCGTATAATGCCGCTGCGAGTGTTAACATGGCGATCTGGTTCTCATTCGAAGTGTGGCTGGCAAATACGTATGTCTGTTGGTATAAGCCCCTATCATAAGCTCCCAATTATGACGGATGGAGTAGGTTCCGTGCTTTTCGACCGCAGTACTTCATTCCGTCAATAATATTTTCCATTTTTATCCAGGTGACTGCGACCTATGGAACTCAGTTCGAAACGATGGATGAAGCTGGATCTTTAAGTAAGATTTCCCCACTTGCGATCGTAGCCGTATATACATGCTAATTGCAAGAATCTTCTCCAGTCAAACACTTGATGGGGTCATTTTTTGCGGGATTTGGACTATCAGCAGCAGTCAATGTGTTGATTATTCCACTCACATCTCGAAAGATTGTTAGTATGTACATAGTGGAGAATTTCGATGCGATTCAACGAACACTGGATGCCCAGCGTGAATTTGCGCAATCCCTATCCTCGCGTTGTTGGCCTTCTGTCCATGGTACCTATGATATCACCCAGCAGGAGACTACACCTTTATGGCCTGAAGCAAACTCTCTGAAAGAGGCAACCACCCAAGCTACCAAAGCCCTTGGAAAGATAATATCGGAATTGCGCTTTGCAAAACGTGAGGTTGGTTGGGATTACCTAGGGCCAAAGGAACTAGTGAAAATCACTCGCTTATCGAAGAAAATATTGGGCTCAATGCTGTGGATGGAGTCATTTGTCGAGGTCAGCAGACGTATCCCTCGTGTTGTGACCGAGTTGGACAGCATTCCTCATGAAGAGGAGCAGCAGATGTGGTCTTGGGTATTTGAGAGGAGGCGCGGCCCCACCGAACAACTTATCCAAGCCATGAAAGAAAGTCTAGACGACTCTGTGTACGTTCTTCGCTTCCGCAAAGCGCCAACTGTATCTCAATCGGATATTGAAAACAATAGAGATCACACGAGCACACACTTAGAAGAGATGATTGAATATTTCCTTCGAGGGCAGCAGGATACCTTAGAGATGTGGCTCTCATGGACAGGCATGCATCAGCCTTCTGAAATACTTACGGGAGTAGATTCTGAGCGACGTGAACGGTATCGGCTCCAGCTCTACTTTCTCCTTGATGTAGGCTTCTCCTAGCCTCTGAGCTGAAGCCTCGTATCCTAACTTTATAATAGTTAGAATCTTCGCTCCTTTCAACTGCGAGAAGAATCCTAGACCTGGTGAAATATGCGCATTTGAAGGTGGACGATGGAACCATGAATAAAAAACGGCTGGTGCTGCCAACGAGGAAGGAATTAAAAAAATGGTTCTGGGCGTCATTTTCTAGGGAAGACCGAGAATTGGACTATTATCAGTACAGCAGAAGATCTGGAACTGTTAGGATCTGCCTGGATGATGTCCTACAGACAGGCACACATCCGGAACACGTCCTCCCGCAAAGCACGTGGGAGAAGATTGGCGATAATGTTCGGAGAGGCTTTCGCTTCTTCGGTTCACCTGAGTCCGTGTTTGGTTTTCGAGTAGCGGTGGCTACCATGGCTGTTTCAGTCGTTGGGTTTCTCAGAAACTCACAACACTTTTACATCCAGCAACGCCTCATCTGGGGTTCGATCATGATTGCAATTAGCATGACATCGACTGTGGGGTCAGCTATGTATGGACAATCAATGCGGCTCCTTGGGACATTTATTGGAATGGTGTTGTCGTATATTGACTGGTACATAGTCGACCGACAGCCAGCAGGCGTCCTTGTCTTCGTTGGGATCAGCATGTTCTTGTCCTACTACCCATTAATTAAGTTTCCCACTCACTCTGTGCCGCCTATAGTCGAAATGGTCACCGTTATGTTAATTGTGGGCTATGCACTTCAGGTAAAGAAAGTTGGGGTCATCTTCTCTGAGTCCAACGGGCAAGCATATCACGCTCTATATGTACTGTCACCTTATCGACTCGCTACTGTTGTGGGTGGCATCGGGGTTGCTTTTCTGTTCACGTATTTCCCCTCTGTGACCACCGTCAAAAGCTGCTTCAGACGAGATCTTGCGTCCTTTCTATACCTTCTCGCACATTACTACAGCTCCGTGTACACGACACTCTCCATATCAGTCAGAGGTCTGGCTGGAGATCATAGCGACAATAAGAGTCTTGGGAGAATCCTTGAAAGAGCTCGCGCTCGTGTACTTGCCAAGGAAATTGTTCTTCTTCAGGGAATGGAACAACACACGTGGTTCTTTGCCTGGGAACCTACGATTGGGGGAAAATTCCCCAGGGATGCCTACGAGAAATTGGTTGAGCATGCGCGAAAGTAAGTTCGTTCCGTATTTGTTTCAATTGTTGCAAACACTGATGTGTATCCCTAGCGTACTTCAATTTTCGGCAACGTTAGTCGAAATCACTGATTCATTCCATTCTACTGGCACGATGCTCTCAGACTCGTGGGCAGAAGAGATCAGACAGCTCCTAACTTCACTGGACGTAAGGTCCCATGAAGTGACGTCTTTTCTCACTACACTATCAGGTGCCATCAAAACCGGGAACCCATTGCCTCTTTACCTTAAGACGCCCAAACTTCGTCTGCCTACTGAGCTACTGGCTGCTGCTGCTGCTGCTCCCGACGCGAACCTTCTTAGTGAAGAACATTTCAGCCAGCCGGCCTTTTCAGTTATTGCTTCGATGGAGATTACCATGATGGCCCTGGAAGATGATCTATCTCAACTATTATCCGGGACGAAAGAGATTGTGGGAGAGTTGAACTTGTTGACAGATATTGTCCGCAGAAAAGACTTGCCTGCTAATATGGATTCAATCATGGCAACGGAAAAAAGAGATTGACTCTTGTATCTCCATTTCTTGCTTCCAGTGCTTGCTGACTACTTTTCTGACGCCATAATATAGCCCGCCACAGTAGAGATGGCACCGACTCAATTGTTATCGTTGCATCTCTGCAGCCTTGCAGTTCGGGCCATGTATTGATCAACTCAAGATGGTATTCTTCTGCTGCTGGTCGACTATAGATGGGACAATGAGATTTATTTCCCAAGACAATATATTCATGGTATATATAATTTGATCTGAGTTGCAACTAAAGAAACTTTGCTGTCCGAAATCAATAGCTTACAAGTCTGCGACTTTCGTAGCATCAAACTCCCCTCAACAAGGTTTTCGCATGGTTTGCTGCCAGAATGCCTTGCAACATGATCGACCGGCGCTATCTTACTATGCTCCAGGCGCAGATTCACGAAATTTACCCTCGATCTTAGCCTTTCTACATTGCTTGGCTGTATCCATAAAGTCAGGTATGGTTGGTGAGATTTAGAACGTATGTAATCTAACAAACTTTGCTGAATTTTGAATTGTCGACACTGGCCTGCATCCCCCACCAACGACAGATAAAGACGCATGTCAGGAAACAGACTTGTCTGGAGAAACATACGACAGGAAAGCGGCCAGGCCAAGTCAAGACATGGCACCAAGTCAAAGGTCTCCGAGTATCTTCGCTCAGGAGGTGCGGTCGACCCAAAACGGGGACGAAAAGGTGAGATCATGTATGCTTATTTTCTTTCAAGAGAATTTCCCGGAGAACCTGATTATTACTGAAGGTATGAGCTGTCGAGCTGGAATTCCAAGGCCTATGAAGGTAAAGCTCGTAGATCATGGGTATAATCGAGAGGTTAAGTCTTATTTTGAAATTTCAGGCCAGTATACGGTAAATATATTGCATTCATTGAAGCTACATGGACCTGTGACGACTGAGAAGATTTCAAAATTGTTTTTGTGTGCACCACCTTAGGCCGCATGGGTGTAACCCTTTCAATTCAGGCGGCTAAATCGTTTATTCGACTTTTTCAAGTCCTTTTCAATCTCAATCCACCTCCTGGATACCTCTGCTCTTTCTGGGACTGACGACTCTCTCACCTCTTCGAGCCCTTGCGAAATACGGCCCACAGCAATCATGCATTTTTGATATTCACCTAGCGAGTCATTGATATCTCTGAGCATCCCGCTCAATGGATATCCTGCCAGACCCCATAGCCCTGATGAAGATCAGCTTATGTACAACAAGATCACATAGAGGCTCCCTGCATGTATCACGTACCCGCGGTCGGCTTGAGAATCACTCCACCCACTGCTTTCCCGATCCCCTTGAACAGCCCTTTCACACCGTCATGCTTGAGACCATAACGCGGCTGCGTTCCTAGGCCTGTGATGCCGAAGTAGAATCCATCTCTGAGCTCCTATACAAATGTCAGCATACTTGGTCCCAAGCTAGTGCTTGTATGATTGTTAGTACCTTTCCAGCTGCCCTGAATCCGCTTCGAAGACCAATCACCTGGGGGATGTCGTTTACCGTTGGGTCGTTATACAATTTTGGTGCGTTGTGGAAGCCTCTGGCCATGCTCAGTGACACATCCGTTGGTAGCCATATGATGCACTTCAACAACTTCTTCGACATTTTGCTTCCGTGAAACGCAACCTCGTGTATAATATTGAATTTAGGTGGTTTTGAGGGACCCATCGAGCTGCTCATTGTCTTGGCCTTTTCGAGCTGGAGATCTCTTTTTCGTCTTATGCTCGAAACCTTTTCGATGCTGTTGACCTGGCTTTCACTATCGCCATCAGTAGTACTTTCCTGTGCACCCAGCCTAACCAAAACCTCGCCATTCTCGTGCTCATTATGTTCAAATTGTGTATCCTGGCTCTCAAAACTGTTCTCTTGGGGTAAGCGAGCTAGAGAAGAACTTACTGCTCGACATGCTGTTCGGCGATCAAAATGCTGATGGGGTTGGCCTATTGCGCGAGCCGCAGAAATAATATCAAGCACGACCTCTCTTGGCGCATCTGCAAGCCCAATCACGAAGTTTGAAATGGCCCCAAGTAGCACCTGAGCGCTAGCAGTAAGTGGGCCGGCAGGATCACGGAACGTATCGTATTCCATTGGACGGTATCTGGAAGGGCAATTAGTCAAAAGCTATCGCCGTTTTGGTGGCAGTGTTGGAGAAGACTTACAGCACGAGATTATGTGGACTAATTTTGCCTGATTGCACCAGAACCGCTGCCGCAAATACACTTAAGTTAATCTTAGTATGTTTGAGATGCCAAGCCGCTGGCCGACCCGGAAATACGGAGCATTTGAGTGACTCGAGATCAAGATGTCGATAAAAACTATACACTCCATGGCGCACACCAGACTCTTCCTGCATGTTCCTCGCGATCGCCTGTGCCCTTTCTAAAGTGGCCACTTCGAGCGCCTTCCCTATTGCATCTGAGAGATTCTGCAGGTTCAGACGTTTATAAGGTATTGGTGATGGCCCCGCTCCTGCTCGCGCGACAATCTCCCCCCAAAATTGCTGGTCTCCAAAAAAGGGGACAATTATAGTCGGCCGACCTAGGGCAAGGCCCGCCGCGGTGGTACCAGCACCACCATGGTGGATTACACAGCTGACATGTCGAAACAGCCAGTCGTGGGGGCAGTTGCCAATGATAAGAATATTTTCCGGCACATCCACTTCGCCCGCCCCAAGATTCCCCCAGCCTTTCGAAACGAGAGCTCGCTGTCCGGTTTTTTGAACTGCTCCAAATACAATTTTCGTTAGTTTAACGGGATCATCTACTACGATAGAACCGAATCCGATGTAGATCGGTTTTGGCCCTGCGTTGAGGAATGCATCTAATTCCTTTGGCGGCGTGTAGCTGGTCTCTGCTGGGAGGAAGCCAAAGCCACATACGTCGATCTTATCATCCCAATCGGGGGGCTTGGGTAGCAATGCAGGAGACCTATTGTCGACCGTTCTCGTTAATCATATGGAATAGTTTTTGCTGACTAGGAATGGATTCCTCACCATAGATACGCATGCGGCACGTGCAGTCGGTGTAGCAGGCTTGGGGCGGTTATGGCATCGATAGGTTGGAGTGCTAAGGTATTTTTGCGGAGCGTGTTTAGAATATCTCCCAAACCTTGCCACACCATTATATCCACGACCCCGTAGGAAACAAAGTTTGCGACAGTCGGTTTGTAATTCCGCGAGTGAACAATGGCTAACGGGTGGGGAAAGGATTGAGTTGGTGACCAGGGCATTCTATTATGTATTGAGTGTGTTCAGTCTATTGTGCAAAGGCCAACCAGGACTTCATATGTGAGAGGGTTAGCTCACGTAAACATGACATGGAGAGGGATGCCCAGTCGCTGTGCACAATGAATATGGGCGAGGCTCGGAGGGTTGGCTATAATGACATCCGCCACAAAGGGGCGTTGTCGATAATCCAAAGCCTCACTCCATGGGTCCTCTTTAATTTGGTGCAGATCCGTCCCATCACCCATTATAAAGCAGGATTTCCAACATCCATTGAAGATTTCCTTCATCTCACGCCGACGCCTCAGGATGGCTCCGCTCCGTATTGTCTTAAGTCCTGGTAGAAGACCCGGATTTTTCACCATGAAAGCCATCAGCTCCGTCGGGTCTCCTCCGATACTGAAGAACTCTAGACCGCCCTGGAGAACGAACTCCCGGAAAGCCAAATGCGTAGCCAATCTGACACGGTGACCGTGTGATTTCAGTTCTCTCCCTAGTGCGACAAATGGCTGAATGTCGCCTCGAGAACCAATCACCTGGATGACAATGTTTAATTGCAGTGGAAATTCCTTCACCTCATCGTTCGGGATAAGCCGTTCGGCACGATCTGTCTGGTGCGGCCCCCAGTCTGAACGTACAACCGGGTGTTGTATTTGTTTCAATAGCCCCGCAAGGTGCGGTTTATGCTGATCGATATCGATGTCTATCCTGCCATCCCCTATGATAAAAGGTAAAACGCGGTTAGGGCAAGGTGCATGAAATTTATCCAAACACACCACTCACCGAGAAAACGGGTGCCGACATCGAATCTGTCCTGGAGAAATCCCACTTTTTCCTTGTCATCTGGGAACCGCTCAGTATTATTTTCTGGCCAACCATCCAAACCAGTGATCCCAATTCGCTCGGATAACCCTCCTGTAGTAGTGGACGCTACAGCGGCCATGATTGACAGTATCGACAGTAACGTTACCCGTCCGATGGTGGATGATCAGGAGAAGTGATAGTCAAGATGGGTGAAACTCCCACCGCGCCGTAGGTTCTTGTCGCACTCATTTGACACCTGAATATGATATCTGCTCATGTGATCCTCTTTTGACAGTCTGACAAATCCGAATTCATACAAATCATTATGGTTGCACCCAATGACGTCAGTAGACTCGTCTGGACTTGGCTGAATTAGCCCTAGTCGAAGTATCGCCACGAGCGGTCAAGATCAGTAAAAAAAGACCACATCATCCGCTTTGGTCGGCATGGGGTCAAGCCAAAGATCAGCCATCAGCCATGGAACGGCTAAGTGAATCTTGTTAGTTCTCTTGTCCGCAAATGCTACGATTATGCCAAGGTTCTATTTTCCTGGTGTTGGCCGAAAGTTTTTGATGTTTAATTAGATACTCCTATTTTCTAAAAGGTTAGTTCTAGCCTCTAGGGTTTTACTATCAGAATATATAATAGTAATTATATTTTTTTTATATTACCTTCTACTTCTGGTATTCATATTACTATATCTCTAAATATTTTGCTATGACAATATATTTCAGAAGAGGGAGGGCAGAGAGATTGGTAGAGGTGGTATTCATCCCCGTCTGGTAAGCTGAACCAGGAACTTTTGTCATATTAGAATTACTTCAAGTAGTGGGAGAAAGATTTGGATACTCTGAAGAGTGAAGATAGACCGCCTTGAATTGAATCGGACTGTATTGAAGAGTATCGAAGCTTGGCAGTGTGAATGTATCGAACATTCCCTTTTGTTGTCTGATTCTTCTACTTCGTCGTCTCCTCACCATCACCATCACCACCATAACCTCCACCTACATCAGCTACTTCTTTGCGTATGCAGCTCCATGATAATTATTTCCAAAGAAAAGGTTAATCAGGAGATTCGGGACCTAAAGAAGAGAAATCACGAGTATCCAATATGAGATTGAGATTGGGATAGCTGAAATCTAGAAATAAGAGCAACGGTTGGCTCTCCAGGCCGAAGATGATATATATTCTTGACATGTCCTAGGTATGCCTCAAATCCTATTGTACTCGCTCTCGCTACTCTCTGGACGTACTAACTGCTGTATCTAGGTCAAATAGTCAAACGCACGCATGTCCTCGAAGTCAAATATGGGATTCTGTCGAATTATGAACAGACTCTCTTTCTCAGACTGTATGAGAATCATACAACAGGCTGGCAAGTTCAATATAGCCCGGTCATTTACCACAACGCATCATATCCCTAAGTATATGTTACTATGCGTCAATGTATTTGGTTCCTTGCCGAACGGGCTCGTGCCGGTCACAAGGCCAGCAATCTGCCTCCAAAAGCACAATGGATCCTCGGCTAGATTCGACATTAAATTTCCGCAGATATAAAATACTTGCTATAAGTATCTGGTCTCGGGCCGAGTGTCAGAGGGTAACTTGTTGTCTGACTAGGACGACGTATTAAGGACCCGAATGGGTGCTGTCCCCGGCGAGGGCTCGCACCTCATCGCAGTGCTAGGATCTAGTAACTTGTTATAAGCGAAGCTAAGACGACCCTTTTAATTTGTGTCTAGTTTATTCTCTACCTTATTGCAGATATCCCGCGTCTTCAGCTTTGAAAGCCCTAAACTTGCAGATTGATACATATACATAATATGCTAATATCCAAAATTTGGCTGGAAGTCTCCCGGAAAACAGAACTTACATATTGATTACGAGGCCCTTCATCGTTAAAGGACCAGCCCTCTTCACCTCACTCTTATTCCTATCTTATCCATCAAGACTCAGGCTGCCAAAGCCGTCCCCTCTGTCTTCTACCATGTCATCTGTATTCTTTCCAGAAGAGTACTGGCTCAGCAAGGCCCTTGTGGTCTCACATCCCTTGGTTTGGCAACTCATTGAAAAGGTTGTGGAGCAATCTGAGATTAGCGACCGCAAGGACATGCAAGAGTTTGACAGTCCGTCCTACGCCCACGCTGAGTTCAAGTGCTGTAATACAAGCAATCCTTACCAGCAAACTCGAATTATCATCTATCTCCAAGTTCCTGCGGCAGAACTTATGTTCCTAAACCCTTCGTTCCTCACTTGCCCACACATGTCCTTGCCCGCTTCCCAATCATCATCCTTCACTCCTTTCCTCCACCTCTTCCACCACACGGATTTGGACACTTCATCCAGAGACCCATGCTTTTGTGCCTTCTGGGCCGTTCTGACTTTTGCCGACGTTGAGGCGTTGCGAAAATCCATTCTTGAATGTGAAAAATCGACCTTTCTCCTAGATTTCTGTATGCATGCATGCATGCACCGCGATCCCGTTACTTTAGACACAGAATCCACCAGAAAAGCATTGATCTCGCCCTCAAACGAGACAACAAGAGTTGACCTCTCAAGGAAACGCAAAATCGTAGATGTGGCCCACATCTACCCCCATTATCTAATTGCGGACAGGCGAAACAATTTCACAATCACCTTCCCACCATTATGGAAGATGTTGGAGTATTTTGGCCACCGGACAAAAGCGAAACGCTGGCATGACAAAATATTCACAAATCCAATTGATCCCACTAGACAGGTGGATTCAGTCTTCACTAGAGTGTGCATTTCACCAGGTATTCATCATATGTGGTCGGCTGGGATTTGTGCCTTCAGACCTCCTAGATTATAATAGCGACAAGGCCACAATCGAGGTAGAGTGGCACTAGCAACCGGCGAGAACAGTGGTAGATCGAGTAGCTGTTAACACGGCTCCGGCATCATCTAGGAATGTGGGCCAGGTTAGGACCCCGGATGGACTGTTTTCTGAGCTGTTTCTTAGATATGGGAACACTGTAGGACCTGTCAAGACCGGCGACAAGTTCACCTTCTCCACCACAGATCCTGGAATGATGCCTCTACCTTCGAAAGGACTGTTAGATATGGCATTTATAGTAACCAGAATTATAAATCTTTCAGGGACAGGGGGTTCGACAAATTTAGTTTGGTGGGATTCTTCGGACGGAGACAATTCTGGAGACCCGTATCCCTTAGATGGCTGGCTAGCATTAGTGGAGAGGAATCCGATGGAAATTTCAATCATGAATCTTGCCCTAGATATACTTTTGTATAGTGTCATACTAATACATACGACCATAGGGTGTGGAGAACAGGGCTTCCCGTCCGCTCAGCCGTACTTAAGCCACACGCCGGGAGGTTAGTAGTTGGGTGGGTGACCACCAGCGAATCCCTCCTGTTGTATGTTTTTTATAATATATTTTTTCTTGTTGCGGTGTGTGGGCTTAATCCCTCGGGGAATCCTGTTGACTGGCCGGTGTTTTCTGTGCGGTGGAGGATTGTAGTATCTACCATTACTTGAGCCTCTTCTTTGCAGTGACTGTAATTTAACTATGTAATGCCTGGTTATGTCACGGCCCAGTTTCATTACTTAAACAGCAGTGCATGAGGTTAGGATAAACGGAAAAAAAAAAAAAAAAAAAAAACTATTAGTCCACCAGACCATGTGCTTTAACACCTTCTTTGTCGGGTGTGCAACATCCCTGCATAGTTGTAAGAAGTCCTTCCTGAAATTTGCATTAGCATTGTAGGCGAAAGAGGAGATCTAAACATATCAAGCGGGGTATTTCAGGCTCGAGCTTCCAGCCCGAGAATCGCAAGAGACATGGTATTCGATATCGGAGACCCGTGCTAGGGACCCTGGTCTTCTTGTTGGAAACGGCTTGGAGCGGGCTCTGGAGCTGAGGGAGTGCCCATATGCTGAACCATTTCGAATCCAACCTGAGGTATTTTCCGACCAGATCCCCATTGTTGTTATCCTCTGGGGTTGGGTAAAAAAGGAGGCGCAGCGTATTCATGTTATTTGATTTACGGTTAAAGTCCATAACCACTTCCCAGTCACGAGATCCAACCTTCGGGCCCCACTCTGCAAAGATTGCCCTTCGAAATTCGAACATATGATTGAGCTCACGCTCCCAAAACTATCTCAAGTTAGACTTGGTATGGTATTGGCTTTGATATTAACATCCCTTGTCCAGTTTGGTGTTTCTTATGTCTTCCGCGGCTGTAAAGTTGAAAACAGTCTGATCGTACGCCATTTCAATGAACCTCCCCCATCTATCCATCCAAAATGAAGAGGCAACCACCGAAGGAACCTTGTGGGCGTGTGAGCTTTGCAATCCATAGCGATCCTGGATCCATTACCTGAACCTTGCAGGCTTCAGCCATGTATTCCATTCGCTGTCCTGGGTTTCATGGCGGGCCTGAATTAATCCCAGGAGGTTGTTACCATCTGTCTCCCTTTTTGTAAACAGCACCGTCATTTAATCGGAGGATGGTCAGGGTAGCCAAATCCCACGGGCTTTTATCGGAAAAGTTTGCTTCGTGGCCGGGCTGTTCAATTAGTTGTCCGCCTGGAGTCTTCAATGACTATGACAGATGTATCGAAGAAAGGGTTGAGATATATGAAGTTCAATATATTTGCCGGGAATCAACCAGTAGGTGACCCAATAGTTGGGTTTGCATATTAAAAACCAGTCGATATTCTTATTCGCAGATCCAGCAAGGGACTCGGCTAATGCTCTGTTGCGAGTAGAAAGAACGACAATCGACAGCTGTCCCGTTAATGGACTGTCAGACATTGCAATGAGCTCCAATGGCTGACCTCACTAGCCAGGGAAGAATGATATAATGACGAAGTTTATACGCGGATACTAAATAGCATAAGGCTTGTTCTAGTCATGATTATGAATGTTTATTGAAGATTTGATTAGACGTACAGCCTAGGATTCAATCAAATAGAGTAGTTGACGTTGCTTACTGTGGGTATTTATACCTAGCCTCGTGCGTACCGAGCCTATAAATCAAGACACTCCTAACCCGTCAGCAGGAAGTCCCAATCCTCTAGAACCTCTAATATTCTAAAAGAAAGCTAAACACACCATAATACCTCCAAAATGTCTTATTGCACCGTCCTCGCCCTTCTCAGCCGCAAACCCGACCTAGCCCGAGACGAATTCAAAGCCTACTACGAAACCACTCACATGGCGCTCGTCACGGACTTTGTCTACGAACTCGGCCCCATTTCTCTGACCAGTTTCCTAGAGCTATGGCTGAGTATCATCGTGGTCTCTCTGCCGACGCTGGCACCTCTGTTCAAACGCTACGTGAAGCTCCTGGTATCGCAACGGTCGCGCAGTACTGGCGGCCATGTCCGGCTTCGCGAGGCGCAGCACAAGATCGGGAGCACGTCGGTTAAGTATCATCGGCAGGATGTGATGCTCCGTTCGGCGCGAGAAGAAGGTTTGGAGGAGGGGGGGGAACGAGGACGATAAGTATGGCGACTCGGCCAGAATCAAGGCTTCCAGGGAGCGATCGGAATGGCCGAGTATGCACGTGAACGAGATTCGCGCCCCGCGAATGGTTCCATTGGACGAGGAATCTGACCAGGGACCGTGACTAGTAGGGCTTAGACCGTTGGTGAGACAAAGAATTGAAAGACTGGGCGTTGGCAGCATCTATTTTTAGTTTGGTTGTGCTTATGTGTACTCCATACAGTAAGATAGAACTACCGGGGTCATTGGTTTAGTCGAGTCCAAATTACTTTCGGATGAGCCTCAAAGTTCCCCTCATTCCCACCTACTTTAATAGACAGGTCCTCTAGGTGTATACTCATCTCGTCAGATAAATCGATGTTTCATCGACCATCATTTCAGTTACCCGTCTTAGTTCATTGCATCGGCTACTGGGCTTAGTTTTATTGCAGACATGGAAGCGGCAGACTATGTTGTCGTCGGTGGCGGTACGGCAGCCCTGGTTGTTGCCTGCCGACTGTCGGAGAACCCAGAGACGCGCATCATTGTACTAGAGCGCGGTGAAGATGTATCGAATGATGCTCGCGTTCAGAATCCACTTGTGTACGAGGCTCTGGCGGGCAGCGAGATGGATTGGAACCTTAAGGTGGCTCCGCAGGTAACGACGATCTCCACCCCCTCTGCTGACATTGGCTTTGCGCTAAAATGAACGGACCAGGCTGGGCTGAACGGTCGAGAATTCAGCCAACCGGCGGGGAAGACCCTGGGTGGGTCTTCCGTAATCAATGGTTGCGTCTTCCTGCCCCCGGCTGCGGCGGTTCTCAACGCCTGGGAGTCGCTGGGCAATCCGGGCTGGAACTGGGAAACGCTAGCACCCTATTTTCAACGGGCTTATACTTTGCATCCAAGGACCGGGGGCCCCCGGCCTAATACACCTGGCCCAATCCAAGTAAGCTACCCAGTGTCTACGGAGAGGGCCGACACTACTCTGCTCCACGCATGGAAGGAAACATTCAAGGAACACGGCTATGATTACGCCGACGAACTGGTGTCAGAAGGGGCAACCATCGGTACTCGGCCATATACTGCGACCATCGATCCAGTATCCGGACATCGCAGCAGCGCAGCGAGTGGATATGGCGCCATTCTTGCTTCTCGTACTAACGTTCGCATTGTCACCGGTGCCACTGTAACTCGTATCCTATTCGACTCGTCTGCGCCGAATGGCAATCCAACTGCCACGGGAGTGGAGGTCCAGACTGAAGCCCGGGGGACCGTCCTCTTCAAACCCACCAAAGAGGTGATTATGGCCGCAGGCGTGTTCAATAACCCTAAGATCCTCGAATTGTCGGGGATTGGGGACCAAGCTCGACTCCAAAAGCTCGGCATTTCACCACTCGTCCACCTGCCCGGGGTAGGAGAGAACCTGACGAATCATGCCATGAGTGTCCTGACGGCCCCGGTGAAGACGCATGCGGACATCCAGGATATCGCCCCGGGGATGAAAGCCAACGCCCTCATCCGCCTTGCGCCCGCAGAAATGCAAAAGATTCTCGATCAGGCCGGCGAGAGCCCATACCACACGGCTATTGCGGGCATCCTGAATAGCCCCAACGAGGCGTCCGCCTGCGTACACTTCGCCATCTACCCCGGTAATCTCGCTGTTATAGGCCTTTTCCCCTCCTTCCCTTTCTCCAGGGGTAGCATCCATATCCAGTCAGCAGACCCAGCTAGCAGTCCCCAGATTGATCCACAGTACCTGACCAACCCATCCGACCTCGATTCCATGGTCCGGCACGTTCAACACTTGCAGGCAATTCTACACTCCGCCAATTTCCAGCCCTTCGTCGATATGCCGCCGCCCCAGGACCGAGAGACGCTGGCCCAGCTAATGCGCGATGCCATGGTTATCCCAACGGCCCATCCGTGCGGTACCAGTGCGATGCTGCCGCGCGAGAAAGGTGGCGTGGTCGCGCCGGATCTGAAAGTCTACGGTGTCAACAATGTTCGAGTGGTCGATGCAAGCGTTTTCCCCATCATTCCGCAGGCGAATCCCATTAGCACGGTGTATACGGTAGCTGAACGGGCCGCAGATTTGATCCGAGCGCCGTGATCAGCCCATGTTGTGCTTTTCCTCTCCATTCGGTTTTGGTATGTTTGTAGTCCTGATTGGGAAGGGGAGAGTAGACTAGTTGTTTACGTTTGATAATAAAATGATTCAAAGATAAAAGAATATCGTGACATCCACGTGAAAGGATTCCTCGCGAAGAAGGAAGTGGATAAATATTAAATTGTAATAAAAACATCCCTGTCGAACGGAAACGATTGGGCAAATTTTCAAACTAGGTCGGACGATGAGTTAACGCTACAGACGCACATCTACGGAGTAAGTATCCATCAATTGCTTTCACAACGCTGGCGTTGGTCGAGCAAAAAAAGTACCGTACATACATGGCTCCCTACCCGTACCCTAAGTCTGTGACAAACGTCCATCTTCCCGTTTTGTCCATCACTCGGCCCCAACTGCCGTACGTGCGTAGATCGATTTGTTGCCATCATATTTGTCCTTGATCAGCGCTAACCGATCATAGTTGGATCCGTAGAACATTGATTGCCTGCCAATCGGGTTGGTTGGCGTCCGCCTCGTTCAGATATGCTTCTCCCACCCCCGGCGTCCACGGCCACTAATTGTGGCACCAGCTCATTCGTCATGGAGCTGTGGCCTCCCCATCCCTCTTTTCATTATAAAGATATGCTCAGCTCACAATAGCCTGTAGAAAGGTTTGGAATTTATTCTTGAGGTAATCACTATTGAAAGACCTTTCAAGTTGACTAGTCTCATCTTATATTAAGAAGGTGTCACTTGGTAATAGTTTATGAAGCAAGTCAACTTGACTGGTGTATATTCCGAGTTCAGCACCATGCTGTGGGTACTGGATATGCCACCATTTACTTTGCAATAAAACCATCAATGAACTTGATAATCTGCTCCGCCAAAGCCTGAGGCTGGCTTACAAATGGCATATGTCCGGTCTTAAAGTCGACAACTTCCCATTCGACCTTGGACTTCTCCAGCCACATATCCTGCAGCGATGAAGGGTTACAACAGTCGTCCAGGGTACGCACATACGCTCTCCTACCATCAAACGCACTCTCCGCCCAGGCTGGGGCAGTGGCAGGTGTTTCAAAAGCTCGGAGAGCGTGTGGCTGCATTAACTTCTCCAATTCGGGCTCAAGGGCACGGTCGCAGTCATTGTACAAAACCTCCATCGCCGGTTCGATGACTGCAAGCCCCTGAGATGGCTGGGAACAAAATGATTAATATCCCATGGTTTATGATCCTGGTTTGTTCTGGGTAGACCGTACCTTGTCAACTTTGATAAAAGGAGGGTAAGCGCCGCCGACAGCATTCAAGAGAGATTCTCCATCCAGTGTAATATTGCCCGCCACGTAAATCAGGCCGATGACGCCAGTCGATTGACCTTGGGCTCTTCTGGTCCCCTTCGCAAGCTCTTTTGCGGCGCCACCTGCAACAACACCCCCGTATGAGTGTGCGATGATGACGACATTTTTACCGTGTTCGTTCAAAAGAGGGAGTAAGACGTTGTCGCGCAAGAAAGCGATATCCTGAGGAGCGGACACGTTGATCGGATCGGAGGGATTGCAACTAGGGTATGACCCTGGGTGTGTTGCGTATCCGGCTTTGGTCAGATACGGTAGCAATTCCTCGAAGCCTTGAGGGGTGCCGAAGGCACCTGGAACGATAACGATCACCGGGAGGTTTGCCGAAGACATAGTGGAGGGGATTCTGGCTTGAAAACAGGTTGCGACTTTGTTAATGTTGAATATTATTGCTGAGAAGAAAAATAAGCTGAGAAGTCCGGATTGCTACCGGGAGTAAGCTCAAGAAGGCGGAGTGGAGGATTTAGTTTTGATTAACTAATCTTACCAATTTCAGAGCACCCTACCAGGATATTAATACATGTATATACCTAGGTAGTACATACAGGTAAGTGGTAATTCGTGTACTCGAACATGTACCTACAGGTGGGGGCTAAGTAGTAGTAGTTGCAGACACTATACTTCTCTCAGTAGGTCGTCGTTCAAGGACTTAGACCAATGGTACAACCAGTTTATTACGGGTTGCATGAAAGAACGTGGGGGCGAAAGGATTAGTGGAGCTTCACTTTGTCGTACGCTAGTGACAGATGTTTCTTTGTTCTTTTGGGGCTAAAATAAAACAACTCGCGTGCTGTACATACAGACTGTATTAAATTCGGGTTCGATAGTGGGCATCTTTGCCGTTGACGCGGGCCGAAACCTTGGAAGGAACCTTGGAATATCGAAACTCTTGGTTCCAGGCGCAGTGCTTAATGTACCACCCTGTCTTGTCCCTGTGACATGTCGTCCTTAAAAGATTCCCATTAGCATTCTTGCCACAGCGGTCTGTATGTGGAGTATCGCTGTAGTAAGTGTTATCTTTCCGCCCTCTACTCGGTAATAGCTATAAAGGTTTGGAGAGAATGTCACTGCGATGAATAACTCAATTGACCATGCAGAAATAAACGAGCACGGGTTGACTTCAACAAAGCTAATTAACTCACAACGCGACTCCAATCGCATGGCCAGAGATCAACCGGATGCTTTAACAACCTTGCTATCGAACACAACATAGAACGAAAGGATGGATCCTTGTATGGTAAAGCAGGGGAGTCCACATAGAAATGCACCATCTCGTACAACAGAACACGTCGAAATTAAACAGAAAGAACGCTTTTTCCACCATCAGAGGTCAATCGTTCGCGGACTTTAATAGGCAAAAAGTCTGAACCAAGTCTGTAGAACTCTACTCGGCCATCGTCCCGTGCTCCAACCTTGACAATAGCGCTCGGCGCGAATAACAGTGCTTCGCCAACGCGAAGACGGACAATATCGTCAAACGCTGAGGTAGAATCGGTCTCTGCTCCTTGTTCTTCCATCTCGCTACTAGTATTGCCGGAACCACTCTTTGAAGAGAAAGGGTTAGATGCAGCCGCTGCAAGATGTTTCTGCAACGTTCGGAGCCATTCAGGGGAGGTAAACCGATGAACAATTGTAACCGAGCACAGGTTTAACAAAGCGGTCGAGACAGTGGGCTCTTGGGTAGAGATCATGACTCGAGTCCCAAGGTGTCGTTGAAGACGAACTGCGGATAACAGCGTTTCTGTGAAAGTCTGGGCCTCTGCAGAAAGATTCATATACTTCACATTCATTAGAAAATATCTCCAGACCAGCACAATGACATACCTTATGCGCTTCGTCAAGGGCAACTACACGACCAATAGTTGGGTCTTGTTCGAGGAAGATCCCTAGGCAAATATTGAAAAGCGAGCATGCGGTCTCCGGGGATATGCATGGACAGGACATATCAACAATGGTTAAACGACCAGGCTAGATTCTCTTTAGCAGATACCGAGGCCGAGGGGATTCGCTACTTACCACTGGATCCCATATCGAGCCCTTTGCCACATTTTGTTTCTTTGGCTTCTTTATATCCACTTGCTCAGGAGGCATAAAGCTTTCTAGAGTATCCAGTCGTTGCTTTAAAGGTGCCAATTGATCCCGAGTTAACCCAGAACGCATGATAGTATCCTTGAACTCTTGATAATTAAATGGTGCCCCTGAATCCTGTTGTTTGATACGCAATTCACGAAGGACCCGTTTCACCGTATGTATATACAGTGGTATCTGCCCCTCATTCTGCGCAACAGCCATCAAATCCATCATCCGTTTTGTATTCAAATGGCTCTGGTCAAGTTGTAATGGGTCAACTGGAATATTAAATCTCGAATAATAACCCTATATCCTGGATGTTATGATATTTATCTATTAGATGATGGCAAAGAGCACTTACCCGCATGGTGTGAAGATTTGTGGGGGAGCAAAGCACTCTGACCTGCACATCGGAGTGTGATGACAAGAAGGCTGCCTCGCAAGGAGATCCCACTGTGTCACTGATGAATGTATCATAGTGGAAGACCAGCCCTGTTAGTGGATTGGGCAATCTACCAACCTTTGATGATATCAGACAGCTTTCTAGAAGGCAGGACAATGTATGACTCTTTCCGGAACCCTGGGAGCCACATATAAAGATGCTGGAAGGGTGTGAAACATTGAACAGTAATCGGGGGTCTTCATCCAGACTCCCAAGAGAGGCTTTCTTTCGGTGAATGTTTTGCAAAAGAGGGCTTGACCCGGCTAGTAACCCAAACTGTGGGATTTTAGGGTTATCTCGTTTTTTCCCAAGCTTTGCATGATAAGCTAAAACACTGCTTGAGACAATCGGCGAATACATGGATTCGTCTGAGACCACCTCGCCTCCATTCCCGGGTTTCAGAAGGCTTAAATGGTATTGTATGACCTCGTCGGAGAATATTGGATCTTTTAGAGCCACGTCAGATAAAGTCGAGATACATGAGGTGGTCCCGGGGGTTGAGCTAGTAAAATCCTCAATAGATCCCATGTTTGTAGGTGGTTGATTCTCGGTGTGATATGTACCATATAGTTGGATATGGGGGAATCGACAATGTTTTGAAATGTTGAAAAGTTCTGGGTCCTTGTCCACATTTATGCTACATATGAAGGAGAGGGCCATGCGCATCCACAAGTCACATACCCAATATCGTTATCCGAATTCCTTCCTAAATAGTGTCGCAACCGGCAACAAGAAGGCAATGATGTACTGTGTGGCGAAATATGGACCAGATCGGCATACCACCGCTTACTGGTATATAGCTTAGAGGTTCATCGTTGAACCTTGCCTTGCACGTTTTAAAGGGGGTGTCTCTACGAGAGTCTACTTCGAATTACGCAATACATTCAGTTATATGGACGTATGATACAGGGAACTGTAGTGAATCTTTACACTGTGTCTTTCTCGATATGATAAATGCTGTGTAGTAGGGGGAGGGTTTACGGTGATAGAATCTCTACTTCCGAGAAGCTTCACTGTGGTAGACTTCGCTTGTGTATGCCAATCAATCCAAGTGTGGGCCTTGGTATGCACACTATATCCCATCTATACCCCATACAGTAGTAAAGACACCGAGGTATTCATAGTACTCTTTTAATATAGAACGGGCCCGAGCAATTCAATAGACATCGAGAGACATGAGAGCGACCATCGGACTGATCCCACCCCTTGACCGTTAATGTCGCAATAACGTAACTGAAATAGTCATTTTCTAAACTCGGAGTAACATTAACCAGGATATTACGTTATGAGTAAGGGCCTCCTGCAGGAAGGTCGTTATAATCTCGGATTATACAATGGGAAAGGGAAAGGATGCGCTACTACTCCGCGTCCGACCGCTATGACGCAGTCTTTATCAGTATACATAGGCTGCAGACTATGGGGACAAAGACTAGATATGTATGATACTGGCAGTTCTATCCCTTCCTAGGGTGGCGTTGGAGCGCATCCAACGATCGTCCACCATGTCTTGGCTTGCTGCAACCCCACCGTACCACTTCCGAAACGAGAAGTTTCCGTCTTGAGAGTTTTTTAGTACCAAAACGAGTATAAGAGTTGCCAGCTAAGGTCTCCGAAAAATATCGACATGTAACACATACTTCACAGCAAGCGAAATTAGGAATAATTAGGGCAAAACTGACAAATACTGTAGGAGTTAGACGGAAGATCAAAGATATTTGGCTTAGAGATCGGCCATCCTAAAGATCACAACAACAAGTTTTCCTGTCGCTACTTCTCAAATGCGAAGCTATTGGAGTTCATAAGTACCTAGCGATATCATTTGTAAGTTGCCTTGAAGCAAGCCATTCCTAATTGTTAGAAGTCTACGAGTTATTACAGCCACCCTGTCTAGTTAAGATAGTGGGAAGATATTATAATATTAGATTATGGATATAAGACTTTACACTGATATTAATTATAGTTATAAGGACTTTGTAGAATTATAGACTGGACTATCGATTACTAGATAAACAGAGTTTATTAGTTGGCTAAAATATAAGTCAATAGATCTATTGCTATTTATTACTGTAGTAGCCTTTCTTAGCATAGCAGTAAAAATACGCTTTCTTATCCTTTAGGTAAAGAATATTCAGGTTCCTAAAGGAGGCCCTGAAGGGCCGCTAAGAGCAGCGAGACACCCACAACTGGTCTTGGGTGAGCACAGTCCTACTAATGATGTTGTATGTTTTGATATTTCAATAATCCTTTTGTAGATTCAGGTATGTGCATATATAATCTACTACTTATAGCGCTATCTCACGATGCACTCCAGAGATAGCACTCATGCTGAGACCCCTTCTGGACCAGACTCAAAGCAAATATAACAACAGCATAAGACGAATAAGATGCCATGGCTTCACACCGACAGCCACAACTAAACCTTTTCATCCAAATCCTCAGTAGGCCCAGCCACGGTGACATGAGCATCCTTGCGAGCCTCAAGCACATCATTGTCACCAAACAGCTCATCCATCTGCTCCAGCGTCCGGTTTCTAGTCTCAGGAAAGAAAAAAAGTAGCAAACGGCAGCGATCAAGTTCCACGCGAAGAAGAAGTAGAAGAATCCGAACCCAAGAGAATCCAGAGCGATAGGCGCACATTGAGCAAATACCAGGTTCAGACTCCAGTTGGTGACCGTTGAGAGGGAGTTTCCACGTGCTCGGATCTCGACAGGGAAGATCTATGTGTATGATGTTAGTCTGAAACAATTATCATGAATGATATCACAAGAACCTCATACCTCGGCGGGATAAACCCAAGATATGATGCCGATCATGGTATAGAAAAAACTGAAGACAAAGTTCATCGCCACCATGGCTCGGAGCGCATTGCTATTCGGAGAAGGATCGCCTGCCAGGACATAGAACTTGGATAGAACCGAGTTGACCAAGAGCGCACTTGCCATACCGCCAGCGGAGACCACAAGGGGCTTGATGCGGCCGATTCTATCGAGGAGCCATAGTCCGATGGCACAGTAGATGATGGAAAGACTTCCAGATATCCCGATAATTTTGAGTGATGTTCCGGTGCCGATTCCAAGTATTTGGTATATCTGGGGTCCGTAGTAGTTACTTTGCTAGTTAGCCAGAAATATTCAAGTTGAGACAGGGAATCCTCAGCAGTCATACATGACATTGGTCCCAGATAGTTGGCCAAATGCTTGAACACCCATCCCCAATATGAGTCTCCGGCGCCAGGATGCCCTGGATATCATTTCCTTCCAACTACTGACAGCCACCTGTTTCTCAGCTGTAATGGTGTCGACAATCTCTCGGAATTCGAGCTGAATAAAATCACCATTCAACCCGTTGCCGTGCAAGCGTTCAAGCATGGCCTTGGCCTCTTCATATCGCTGTTTTTCAACCAGCCATCGTGGAGACTCGGCCAGAAACCAGATCCCAGATCCCATAATAACACCCGGAACAACTTGAAAGGAAAGGGGGAATCGCCATTGGAAGTGACTATCGACTTGGAAGCACCCGTAGCCGAGCCATTGGGCGACGAAGAATCCCCATGAAAGCATGAATTGCAAAAGACCAGACAGCTTTCCACGATCCTCAGCTGTCGCAATCTCAGAACAGTACATTGGAACAATAGCTGAAAGAAGACCGACGGAGAACCCTGCGATAAGCCTTCCGGTGATCATCATGGGTACATTCACGGCACCACCTTGGAGCGCACTACCAATGACCGAGATAGCTGAACCGATAAAGACAGTTATCCGTCGACCAAACCTGTCTGCGAGAAACGAGATGGACAGGGCGCCCAGTATGGCACCCCCGGTGAAAGAGGAAACGATTCCTCCTCTCTCTGATGAAGAGGGTTCTCCCATATACTCGATAAAGTGCGGCTGCGCGATTGTGGAGGAGATTATGCCACTGTCATAACCAAAGAGAAAGCCACCAAGGGCTAGAAAGGTTGCCACACCGGCGGTCTTGAGACGACCCATAGTGCTGATAACTGTAGGCGATCGTAGCGGTGATTAGATGAGACATAGTATCCGTCAACGAGATATGTGACTGTTTAAACCGTGGCTATATATGGTATCCTAGACCTTTATCCTACCTTCCTCGTATTCGGGCGCACCTGTACCGAGATGGATGTTCTACTTTACCTTTGTGGCTTTAGGATAGTTGAGGCCTGCCAATGTTTGTCTACAGAGCATACAATCCATGTGATTCTCAGGGTCTGGGGAAAAGAGCCCCTGCATAATTAGGTACCCGAAGTGGAGGACCGTGCCGAAGGGTCTTCTAGGGTCATAGGAAGCGTGTGCAGATGCCCAAACCTTAGAGCAGAAACAAGGCTCAAATAACTGGAGCTAAAGAACGCCTGAGGACGTGAGTGGTCCAGTCATATGGCAATATTCCGTCTTGGTCTTAGGTGCTCGGGGAATACATACCCCGAGCACTTATACTTGAGCTCGGGATGTGGACGGCTTTGGTGTACTTATGCTCGGCAAGTGGAGGTCTATAGTATACAGGGCAATACTTTTCTTATGATGATGATCGGCGTGTAGATTCGGGTCTTCTTTATGAGAGAATTCCAAAATGTTTACTAGATAGGCACGGACATGCTATCCGCTTCCCCAGATTGGAGATTAGCGCAACCCCAGATTTAATGACAGACACATGAAAGATGGAGTATTCGGTTGAATATCAAAGCGAGGGTGTTTCTATGGAGTACGTGAACATAAATATCGTCATTGCTTCCCTCTGAAGTTCAAACCTAAATCTTCCATCAGCTGGTATTCATCCAAAGATTGCCATCAACTTTGATCAGTCAGAATGCGTGTGTCTTCTCTTTGCCTTGTCCTTCAAACATCTTTTAGCCTTGCTGCAGCAGACTATATTGATTGGAAAACCTATGAAGCAAATGGTGTGAACCTGGGCGGATGGCTTTGTCAGGAATCCACCATCGATACTACCTGGTGGGCCCAGTATTCCAAAGGAGCTCCAGATGAATGGGGGCTCTGTGTCAACCAAGGGTCTCTCTGTGGCTCCGTCCTTGAGAAAAGATATGCAACGTATATCACTACCGCTGATATCGACAAACTTCATACTGCTGGAATCAACACCCTGCGCATTCCAACCACCTACGCCGCATGGATCAAGTTGCCAGGATCACAGCTCTACTCCGGAAATCAGGTCAACTTCTTGAAGAATATTGCGACCTATGCTATCACCAAATATGGCATGCATATTATCATTGACGTACACTCGCTCCCTGGTGGAGTCAATGGAATGCCATTTGGAGAAGCTGAAGGACACTTTGGGTGGTTCAACAACCAGACTGCCTTTGACTACTCACTCCAGGCAATCGATGCTGTCCTATCCTATGTCCAGGATTCTGATCATCCAGACTCGTACACAATTGCCCCGATCAATGAACCAGTGGACAACGAAGACATGTCAACCTTCGGTACTCCAGCCGCCCTATCAGACGACGGAGCAGCCTGGGTTCTGAAATACATCCAAGAAGTCCTCTCCAAAGTTGCCGCCGTCAACCCGAAGATTCCCGTCATGTTCCAGGGAAGCTTCCGATCCCCAGAATACTGGAGTCCCAAGCTTTCTAGCAGCGACAATGTGGTGTTCGACGTGCATAACTATTATTTCGCCGGTCGAGGGGCCACCGGTGCTAACATTACGTCCTACATCTGCACAGATGCAGAGAATGCTGCAGGCGATGGCACTTTCCCTACCTTCGTCGGGGAATGGTCAATTCAGGCGGAATTGGAAAATACTTTTGCTGGACGACAGAAGGCATTGAACACTGGTCTGTTTGCATTTGCTAAATATTCTCGTGGGAGTTCTTACTGGACGGCCAAGTTCTCGGGCAACGCTACTGTGGATGGTGAGGGAGTCCAAGCTGATTATTGGAACTACATGACTTGGATTGATCAAGATATGATTCATCCTGATGAGGGTGAGGGAGTTTGTGCTTAAGTATGCTAGTACAGTTTACCTAGTGGATTAGAGTGCCCAAGAAATGTCCAGACAGATTTGTCAAAAGATATGCAGTCGTCATTGTAAGTTGCCGGTGAATGTGGCACAAAAGATAATTAGATTATGCTCACTAGACACTGGTAGAGTTAGGCGAATCCGACAAACTTGCCCCAACCCGCCTTGACAACAACTTTACTCATAAAACCAAGGTCTCAATACTTGTATGTATTAGCATGCTACTACGGTATGGTCAACTAGTGACCTGAATTTGTCTGTGAGGTATTATTAAAAGCCTTTAGGCCTTTGCATTCGCATGATAAGGTAGGGAAACCTAGTACGTTATTGATACAAGGACAAGACCTATCCCAAGGCTTCAGCGTTCTCAATTTCGAGTCCTCGACTTGACATGTCGCCCACCCAACAACACATTTAGCTTGGACAAAGAGAGTATAGTAATAGTATATGCCTCCGGTAACTTTTAAATCCTTAATTCTTCCGGCACTATTCACAGTATATTAGCCATGTTTCCAGAGTCTTACATGTATATGTTTCGCAGAGTCACTTACATAGCCCCAGCACCCTGGGCAGTCAGAAGTACAGTCAAGTAGTGGACAGCAGTCAAGTCCGATCGACGGGTTGCAGCGCAGTCCAGGTCTATCCTGACAGCTAATCACAGGTGCATCTTCATAGGTAGAGCCCCACGATCCTTCAAAGTATCTAGGGGATGCACCCAGAGCTACAGCTGTAAAGAGAAGGACGGAAAGGAGCTTCATAATGTAGTTGAAGAATAATGTAGTTGATCGATGTGTGAAGTAGTCAATTGATGTTGTTCGAAAGGACGAGTTGTAACTAGCTTTAGCTGAGATAGTGCAACTTCTTTATATGTTCTCAATTCCGTGAAAGCAGTTTTGTCATAGAAAGGTCATGCCTGGAATGCACTCGTCATCTTAATGCACCTACTACTTCCTACCTCTGGCTATGGTTCTAGACATTTGGTAGTTACATCATCTAATAGCATACTATTGCCTATTTTGATGTATTGCTTCAATACCAATAACTCAGTTTTACTCCCTACAAACCTTCTCGCTTTAGTAGGCTGTATGGTATGTGGCGTATTCGTTAAGAAGATCAGGGGAGTTGTGTCATGATGTACATAAACATCAACGGTGAGGCTGGCTGAATGTATGACTACTTCTTAGTCCTACTCGCTTAGATGTAGTAGCTCGGAGTTACATCCGGCAGCTAACTGTAAGCGGAGTGATATTGTTTTAGAACCATGGATTCATCTACCGCTTGACTCCGAACGAATGCTAAGAATTCTGACAGCTCTTGGGGAAGTGGAAGTGGGGCTTATGTTACATAAATACCGCTGCATTCGGCTATTCTCCACTCCAAGCTGGGGTTGTAACTTAAGTCTCGTCTGTCATTTTTTGAAACAATCTAGACAATCCACTTGACCCGGTCCACCACAATCAATGCAATATAATGTCAATACGTCATCACTATCTGTCTCTTAGTGGTACCTCCAACAGTGCGAGTGGTTGCAAGGAAGTAGTAACCTATCTCTGCTTTCGACTTTGTGTTTCCTGCTACTCTGCTGTCTTCTCTCCTTCCACCACGTTAGCGTCTGCTTAACGAGCCATAGCTCGAAATGGGGGGCAGTGTAAGTATGAATTTATCCCTGTCAAGGATCCTGTCTCGGAGGACACATTCCTTTTGGCTTACAGGCTATCGCCTGAATCGCCTGGCGCCGCAAAGCTTGACGACAACTACTTGTGGTACTTGACGCTCCACATGTTCCAGAGAAATGTTTATCATTAGAACCAAAAGGTCTATATCGATGGAATGCCTGGGGGTAGATTTGGTAGTGGGTATTACTTCCTCTGTCAGTCTTTACTCCTAATGCAGAGGAAATGTGCTTGAAAGTCTATGAATAATAATAAGTATCGAGAAGATATCATAGATTCGTCATCCATTATAAAGCTTCATACTAGTGCCCTCTACACCAATCATGCAAAGTAGTGGTCATTATAGATGAAGCTTGTCTGTTATTGATATTTCCAATGTTTGTATCGGTACTGAAACTACGCAGTTCACATAACCGGTCAATGATTCGAAGAATTCGAAAACGGTATTTCTTTCCAGACTATTGATGCCCGGCAGGATTGAGGTTTTCTTTCTTGTCATCTTGGTATGATTGTGATCGATTGTAGGAAGCTCACTCGAGATATTCACTTCTGTTCTTTAGAACCCTAGCCTAAATCTCTCCCGTTGACTTTGTAGACTGGCAGAACAAAGATTAAAACCAAATTCAACCGACTGCTCTTATCTGCCCTGTCCTTTATGAGAAAACATGGCCGATCCAGGAATCACCCTTCCTATCGCACACTTACCATCCTCACTTGGGAAATCACTAGTTCCTCCGTCAGGCTAACTTGTACTTACTCAAGCTGACAGCGGGTAGGTGCCGCCTTGAGGCTGACTTAATTTGGAGTGAGTGTATAACAGCCCTTGCGCGATCTGCTCATTCCGTCAGCCAGCTGTATGTAACCCTTAACAACCGATTGGCGATGAGCTACTCAGGGTTATCTGTCGAAAGTTTATTCGCCAGCTAATCCCAGCCATTATTTGCTTTTTGTGAGAGCTGCTTTGTGTATTTTCGCTAGCCCCATTTCTAGTTGCGGTGTGGCTGGCGAGACAGTCCAAATACGTAGGTGGGTCGAGTTTGGAGGACATGATTTTCTAGTCTCTCATGCCGCTTCAGTTTTGAAGTCATGCATGATCACTACTATTTTGGGCATTATTGCCCTATCAGCTCCTTCTTTAAGGCCCAACAAGAACAGACGATAAACAACATGGTGAGATTCCCCAGTATTAGTAGTAGGTTATAGCGCCGGCTGGAGGGAGAATGTCCGGATGTAGGATACGATTAGGGCTTTTATCTGCGGAGCAACAAAAGTTTTTGGAACGAGGGGTCAGCCTAGGTTTCGAAAGTTAAAGGCACGTGGAACAATGGATACATGATATGAACATTTAACGGTGTACTTTGGCTTGGAGTAGTGGCAAAAGTGTGGTTTTCGGTTTCAGGATGGGCATTTCAAACGGTATAAAAGGAAGGGTCGGTAAAAAGAAAAAAGAGAGGCATACAGACAAGGATCTCAGAAAAGGAGTAAAGAAAAGTAGTAAGGGAATGAAAGAAAAAAGATGTTGACGAGAGTGGGATTTGAACCCACGCCCCTTTCGAGACTGGAACCTTACTCCAGCTGAGAGATTATTAGTGATACGTTCGATAAGATACTAGAGATATAGTGGTACTAACCGCCTTGGACCGCTCGGCCATCTCGCCTTTGGTTGATAGCCTGGCAAGCTTTTTGCCATTATAACCCAATACTAATTTTAATATTAGAATGACATGTACGTTCAGAGTATCTCGCCCATCATGAGCTTGATTGTGAGGTATAGTTTTCCGTTTTTTCAGTATGTAACAAAGTTATCATAGCATTCCCTAATTCAGAATGCCTCAAAGTATGGCATTTTGGTAGGGGCCAAGGATATAACCCAATATATAGTGGAGCGAGAGCCATACATATATTTCATCAAGATCATACACATACTAACCTCTACCGGCGATAGAGGGAAGCTACAGGCACACCCCTGTTCAATATCTTATACATCCAAACTGCACAGGAAATTTATATCCAGATAATTCAGCAAGTAGAAAAGAGCAACCTTGTTCGAGAAGGCCGGGAACCATGATCTCAATGTAAAGGAGTGTTATATCGGGTTAGTTAGTACCGAAATATCATTACATAAGAAAGAGTATTCTAACTAACGTAATCCACGGCCGAGCCGGCACTACGGCCGAGCCGGCAGGTTTTCAAACTATCTACCAGTATTTGAAGCTTTTCAACAACAAACGCCATTAAATTTGACTTATTAAAAATATAAAAAAATAGCTATTTATTAGGGCAATTTCGAATAGTATGTCCAATGATCCCACAGCCGCTGCAGCGTTGAGGGGCCCGTCGTCGAGGCACAGGTATAGGTTGCTCAGGCTGCTTATTAAACTGCGTATTAAGCTGCTGAACGCGATTTTCTTCTTTCTGTACCATTAAAAGGTTATCGTTCTCTATTATAGTATGTTTCCTAGCTTTTTTCTTATATTTCCGCTTGTTCTCAGCTCGTACAGCCTTGATTTCTTGTTGTAAGAGAAGATTGGTATGCATGGCCATTTGCGCAGCTTTTTCAAGGTGTTGAATATGAGCAATTGGACTGCTAGAAAGCTTCTGCTTTGTATTAAGACTATTCTGTAGACTGCGGATCTTCCGGTCTAGCTGACGGGTATTCTGAGGAGTTTGAAAAGCAGAGGAAATTGAGCCTTCAGCTAGTGGTGGTGTTGGTGTATGTAGTTGACAGTTCAGCTTTGAAAGAATATACTCTTGATTAAATGGCTTAAGTCCTGCTTCTACAAAACTACTGTAGATCTTCTCTGAAGTAAATACTTTAGCGCGCGCATCTGGATATAGAGATAGAAAATGTTCTTTATCAATATAATTGTTGCCGGCAACTATATGTTCTTCAAGGAGCTTTCTATATGCAAGTTTAAGTGGGCCAAAAACACTAACATCAAGCGGTTGAAGAAGCTGTGAAGTATGCGCAGGCATACAGAGACAGATAATAGCATTCTGCTTGTAGAAGTTATCGAAATTAGTAGTCAGATGGCTGCTATAGCTATCAAGAATAAGTAGTTGTTTAGTACCGGTTATATAGCGCTTAGAGCAGGGTTTAAATATATCTCTTAACCAGTGAAGGCCTATTTGATCTGTTGTCCAGCTATTCTTACTGGTTGCAATCTACTAGTCTTTAGCAAGCTTAGGTTCTTGGAACTAGACAGCTTATTGATAGCTTGCTTTAAGTATAATAACTGGCGGTATATATATATCTTTTGAATTGACTGTTTCAATGATTGTAACCTATTTATGATTGCCTTGGATAACTCTGCGTGGTCGCTCACTGCGCTCAACAGTAGTAGTTACTTTAGAAGTAGAGCAGAGACCTATTGCAAAGCCAGTCTCATCAAAATTCCAGATATTATCTTTATGTATACTATGTTCTTTAATAGCTGCTTGAACAGTCTTAAACTAAGGTAATATAACTCTTGGATCTTCCTGCTTTGTACGCTGATAGGTTATTTGTCTTGTATATTGTGTACGAAGCTCAGAACGATGTTTAGTAAAAGAATAAGCTTAGTTAATTTCTAGAGTTACTGTAGGGTCTTGTAATCGGTCACGAAGTAGAATTTGTGCTATTCCACGCAGAAACTCTGGCCGAATTGGAAAGCCTTGCTTATCTGTATCTAGAAGCTTTCGTACAAGAGCTTCCTCCTTAAAAATAGTTAATTTATGGCTATTGGCGTGTGTTTCTGATCGTGAATTAATCCCGCGTAGCCGATCTTGAAGTGTGCTTCTAGGTACACCGAAAACCTCTGCAGCTTTAGATTGAGATGAAATTTTTTTACTTTTATAAGCAGATATAGCTATCTGTATTCGGCTTTCTTGTGAAAGTGACATTTTATATAATAATAATGAAGAAATGACGCGTTGGATGATGTTTGATGGTGGTGTAGAGGAAAACCTGCCGGCTCGGCTGTAGTGCCGGCTCGGCCGTGGATTACGTTAGTTAGTACTTCTTGTTGTAACGTAATCAACCACCGAGCGACGAATACCACCGAGCGACGAATACCACCGAGCGACGAATTTTTACTGTGACTCCCACTATTTGAAGCTATTCAGCTGCCAACACCATTAAATTTAACTAACTAAATATATGAAATGATAGCTATTCACTGGAGGTAATTCCGGATTGTATGACCCACTATCCTACAGCCACTGCAACGTTGCGGAGCTCGTCGTCGAGGTATAGGAGTAGACTGCTCAGGTTGCTCATTAAGCTGCATATTAAGCTGCTGAACCCGATTGTGGCCCTCCTGTATAGATAAAAATAGATCATTACCTAGTTTAGCACGCCTTTTTGCTTTTTTCTTATATTTCCGCTCATTTTCAGCTCGTAAAGATTTAATTTCTTGCTGTAAAAGAAGGTTGGTATGCATAGCCATTTGCGCAGCCTTTTCAAGATGATGAAGAGGAGCAATAGGACTGCTAGAAAGCTTCCGTTTCGCACTAAGACTGTTCTGTAGACTGCGTACTTTCTGGTCTAGCTGACGAGTATTCTGCGGAGTCTGAAATGCAGAGGAAATCGAGCTTTCTGTTGGTGGTGGTGTTGGTGTACGTAGTTAAAAAGTAAGCTTAGAAAGAACGCGTTCTTGATTAAATAGCTTAAGCCCTGTTCCTGCGAATCCACTATAGATATTCGCTGAGGTAAATGCTTTAGCGCGTGCATCTGGATATAGAGATAGAAAGTCCTCTTTATTAATATAATTATTACCAGAGCGCATTCGCTCTTCAAGAAGCTTTCCGTACTCGCCTTTAAGTAGTCTAAATACACTTACATCAAGTGGTTGAAGGAGCTGTGAAGCATGCGCAGACATACAGAGACAAATAATTGCATTTAACTTGCAGAAATTATCAAATTCCGCAGTTAGATGACTATTATGGCCATCAAGAATAAGCAACCGCTTAGCACCAGTTATATAGCGCTTAGAATATGGTTCAAAGACCTCTTGTAACCAGCGAAGGCCTATTTCATCTGTAGTCCAGCTATTCTGACTGGTTGCAATCCATCTATCAGTAAGCTTAGGTCCTTGAAACCAGGCAGCTTGCTGGTTGCTTGCTTTAAGTATAATAACTGGCGGTATATGTACGCCTCTTGATCCAATTGCCTCAATAATTGTGACCCATTCACGATTGCCTTGAATAACTCTGCGTGGCCGCTCACTGCGCTCAACTACAGTGATTACTTTAGAGCTAGAGCAGAGCCCCATTACAAAGCCAGTTTCATCAAAATTCCAGATATCATCTTCGTGTATACCGTGTTCTTGAATAGCCGCTTGTACAGTCTGAAACCAAGGTATTATAATCTTTGGATCTTCTTGTTTTGCGCGTTGATATGTTATTTGTCTTGTATATCGTGTATGTATTTGAGGATGGTGTTTAATAAATGTATAAGGCCAATTGATCCCAATAGTTGCTGTCGGATTTTGAAGATGATCACGAAGTAAAATCTCCGCCATTCCATGTAAAAATTCAGGACGGATTGGAAATCCATGTTTATCTGCATCTAATACACACACACACAATTTATTAACGCCCGGTGGCTAAGCCGAAAGGGCAACTATCGCTAATCTACTAATATATGTCTTAGTATATACCGTGTCTCCTTAGAGCCTATATATAATTACTTTTAGTATATGTCCATCTCATTTGCCTGTATCGTGGGGGGCAGGGGATTCTTGTGGGTTAGTAATTTAATTAGTAGACTGGCTTGAAAATACTTCTCCAAGTATTCAATATCCTATCTTCGGCAGCTGAAGCGCGTCTACCGTCTCTGGCACAAGGTGGTTGGTATGAGTTCGGTCGAAAGGGGTAGATATTTGATTATTATCTATATAGTTGTGGTGTCGAGTCGGCCTGTAGCGATTGTGAACTGTATGGAGGCCTGTACCGCTGCTAAGTTAGGGGTCCAGTATTAATTATCTAATAGTGATTTTCCTCCCAGGAAGAAGAATATATTGTCTCAGTAGATATTGATACATTGTAGTATTTCTGTCCGGTATACTGTCTACTTTCGATATCAAAAGAGGAAGTACTCGATAGTCTCTCTTGTCTATCTATATATACACTGATCTGTCTGCGCTATATTGATTTGGTAGAGATATCTATTTAATTTTGCTATACCAGTCCGGAGTTGAGCCAGTACACTCGCTTTATTCTATAATAATCGATTATATAACTGTTAGATATATTTCTCTAGGAGTACTATATCTACTCTTTTAGTATATTTTCTAATTTTCTCTGACAGACCTTTGCTGGTATCTATATAGGCTTGTACAATATTGAGGGTAGTTACTTTTATTCTAGGGAGTTCTGTGTATAGAGTAGTATTGTCTTAGATTACTACTCTAGCCTACTCTTTCGCTAGATCCAACAGTTTATTGTTCTTACTAATAGAAACCCAATAGATATTAACTCTATTTCTATTTCTTTATAGTCTTCTAATCGACTTGTATATTTGGTATATATATTCCTGGCCCGACTATTATTACAGGTTCCTTAGAGTAAGTGCGGCTGCTTTGTTACTTGTAAGTAATATAGTTCTATACTGTTTTAGCACCGGTAGTATCCTCAATATATATACTATTGCTGTCAGCTCTCCGAAGTATAGGTTCTA